GAATAAACAGAAGCAAATAACACTATAAATTACATGATGAAAAAGCCCAGGGTGGTGACGACTTTAGCCATAGCTAAACCCAAGTGCTCAAAAGACCAACTGAACCTTTCACTAACCTCTCAGAGCTTTTCCTCTGGGACTTCAGTCTCATGTAGGTTCTGTCCACACAGTAACCCCAGCAGCTCTAGCTCAGCCACCAGAGGAAACAGCTGTTAGATGCTGTTAACCCTGACTCACAGTGACCCTATGCATAACAGATCAAAACCTTGCACCACCTTCAAAAATCTCTGCCATGCTTAACCCACTGTTGCAGTCACTATGTGTAAATCCATATCATTGAGAGTCTTTTTTCCTTCACTGACCCTTTACTTTTCCAAGCATAGTGTCCTTTGGGGCATACTGCCTCCTGGTTGTTACCAGGCCTGTTGGCCTCATAATATGTGAGATGAAGTCTCACCTATGGAATCTGGCTGCCAAGACAGGCTTGTTTGTTCTTTGAGCAATCTGTTCAATTCAATAGTCTTCAACAAGCCAATTCAAAAGCATTAGTTCTTCTTCAGTCTTCCTTATTCTCTGTTCAACATTCACATATTTATGAAGGAACTGAAAATATTATGCTTTGGGCCACGTGCAGCTTAGTCTTTAATCTAACATCCTTGCTCTCTAGCACTTTAAAGAGGTCCTTGACAGTAGATGTGCCCGGTGTGTTATGTCTTCTGATTTCCTGACTGCCCCTTCCATGGGTGTTGAGTGTAGACTGTTTAATACCATTCCAGTCAGAGTCCCAAAACTGATTCTCCTTGGGCCCATGTGGGTCACATGCATCTTCCTCAGCAAACCATTCCAACCAGATCAGTCCCTCTGGGAAGAAACTGGGGTCATCACCTCCAGAAGGACATGAGTCAAAGGAATATGAGGCAAGGTGCCTCCCTCAAGAAAACAGAGGGGAGAACCATCAGATGCAGGACGGCACAAACAAGAGGTGCCCACTGCACCATCATCTTGGCATTCAGTGGGTCCACCTTGGAGCAACCTGTCCATTCTACAGAAGGGAAGAAGGGGAGCAGCAGTGACTTCAGCCACTCAGAAATACCCTCGCCACCTCTGTACCACCCACCACTCTTCCCAGACATGTTGTTGCTATGTGCCCTCGAGTCCAACTCATAGCTAACCCTCAGCAGGTTTGCAGAAGCAGTATGTCACATGAGAGGGAAACTACCCATCCTTCTTCCGTGGATTTGAAGCACATGCCTTTGGAATTGCGGTGCAGTTTCTTAACATTAGGCCACCAGAGCTCCCAAGCATAGCAATTCTCAAATCTACTTTATTAAATGCACCCCAATTACCCACTCTGATTGCCTGAAAAGGAGCTCCTGACTGAACAGATGACTTCACAAGAACATTCTATGGCTCCCTGTGACCACTTAGTAGGGATCAAGCATCCAACACTTATTGACACCTTCTATGTGCCAGGCATGATGGCACCATATTCGGTTGGTACCGTTATTGTGTCCATTTAACTGCTAAGAAAACAAAAGCCCAGCAGGATAAGCTGCCCCAAAGCTGACTGGGGGGTACAGAGCTCAGGTAAGTATTGTCTTCCCCACTCAATTTGTTCAACACTGGGAGTTAGTTCACTTCCAGCTGAGAAATCAGTAGAAAGAATATGGCAGAAGACTAGGGAACCCTCCAGTTTCTGTAATGGGGAGCTTACATTTAATTTATCTCACCCGTGGGACAGAGGACAAAACTTCTTAGAGAGATTGGAAAGAGGGGTGGATGCTGGGTGGCCAATAACCAGCTAATGCATTCTCACTGGCAAGTGTATTGGGTGCCCATGGCTTCTGTAACAAAATACTTCAAACCAGGTGGCTTACAAAACACATTTCATTATAACAAACCAACTGACAGATGTCTCTCTGCAGATTTTCAGGGGCTGTAAATCACATGGAAGGAGACTGCCCGGTCTTTCTCCCATGAAGCAGCTGGTGGATTCAAACCACATGCATTTTAGTTGGAAGGGCAACTCCTTACCACTAGCCTACCAGACCTCCCTACAACTTCTGATGGTAACTTACATTCCTTGGCTTTGTGCTTTTCCTCATTTTCAGCGTGTAGCACTCCAGTCTCACTATGTCACATCGCTTCTCTGACAACTCCTGAGTCATCTTGGGTTTTTTCTTTTTATTCATTCATTGTTGCACATTTTCTTTCCTCCTCCTTCCCCCATGAGTGGCCTTCTTATGAGGACCCCTGTGATGATTTCAAACCCAAGCTCTTATCTCAAAATCCTTAATCATACCTTGAAGTCCCATGTTCCTGTTGTTAGGTATTGCCAAGTCTATTCCACCTCACAGGACCCCTGTGTTGGGGCAAATCTGACCATATGGGCTTTCTAAGGCTGTAAACCGACTTTATGGAAGCAGACTGCCAGAGCTTTGTAGGGTGGCTGGCTGCCAGAGCTCTCAAGGCAGCGGGCACCTGGGTGCTTTTACCATAAGCTCATTTTACATGCTTGTTCTCCTGACTTTCATGAAGATACAGACCCACAGTCTCCAAAACCTTAGAGATACATTTTGCAGAATTTTCTATTTTGGGAAGGTTATATTTGTCTTTAGTGTGGATAGATTCGAACTCCCACCCTTTTGGTGAGCAGCTTAACTGTGGCCTTCTTGCCAACTCAAGTAGCATATTCATAGGCTCCAGGAATTAGGAAAAAGAGCTCTCTGGGGCCATTATTCAGCCGACCACAGTGAAGCTGCCCCAACAGGGAAAGAATGTCTTAGAAACCACAACCTCCACTATTCAATATTCCTATCAGCTAACACCCACCTCATTTGGACATCCTTGCTTCGTTCCCTTAAATATGCAAACCTCCTAACTCTCCGGCTGGCTCCCAGCATCAGGCCAGCCAAGCCTCAGGCTGTCTGCCCGTCCTTTGAATGGAAACTGCCAAGGGTAATGGGCTTTGTGCCCTTGACCCCCCAACCTGGCTGGAGCACAACTGGCACCTGAACCACGAGACCCAATTCATGGCACGGCTGGTAGGTAGCTTGAGTGTGCCCGAACCAGGCAAAGCTATGGAAGAAGCCAAATCAATGGGTCACAGTAAGAGGAGAGGAGCCACCTGGGCTGCCGAGGTCTCCCAGGCCCAGCCATCTGGATCCCTGAAACGCGTGACCCTGCTCACGAAGTAACTTGAGTGGGCTTCTGCTCCTCGCCACCGAGATGGCCACAATTCCCCAAATGACAAGGCTGGTTTTGCAGCCAGCCTGCAGAGGATTAAACTAATGCAGTGAACAGATAAAAGAAATTTGAGGCGCTTGGTACCTCACTACCTAGTACAATCCGAACACAGTGCAAACAAGATTTAAACACCAGTCTCTTGGATATTCTGTCAAGGTGAGTTTGATCAAATACAGAATTAAAACAGAACTACTTCAAGATCTGGGCCAAGTCACACCTCTGCCCATCACCACCTGCGTTATGTTGGATAAGTAACCACACTAATTCGATCCACTCCTATATAATGTCATTGTTAGGTACTATCAAGGAGGGGGCTCTGGCGGCCTGTTGTTGTTAGGTGCTGTCGAGCCAGAGGATGACTCTTAGCGACTCCTTGAACAACACAATTGAACCCTGTCCTATCCTGTGCCATCCTCACTTTCTGACACACTCAATCCCATTGCAGCAGTCACTGTGTCAAACCATCTCATTGAGGGTCTTCCTCTCTTTCACCAACCCTCCACCTTTCCAAGGAGGATGTCCCTCTCCAAGGAATGGCCCTGTGGTAAGGAATTACACTATCAACGCAAAGGCACAGGATTCAAATCTACCAGCTGCTCTGTGGGAAAGAGAGGGGCACTCAATTCCTGTGCAATTCACTGCTTCTGAAAACCTGCTGGAGAGTCAGATATGAATGGGTCCCAACTCGACAGTGTACAACCATTACCACTTATAAACTACACAAACTACTATATAATCTGAGGGTGGTGATGGTGGTGGTTGTGTAGTGTGGTGTCAGATCTCACCTGTAGCTGACCCTCCAGTGGGTTTTCAGTGGCAGTTAATTACAGAGGAGGAGACTGCCCATCCTTCTCCTGCAGAGCAGATGGTGGATTCAAACCACGTGTCCTTTGGGATTGCGGTGCTGCTTCTTGCCACTAGACCACCAGAGCTTCAACACAAGAGTTCATATACTATATAAAACCAAAATTATTCTGGAGCTAATCATCCTATCTAGCTCAAAAGGTCAGCATGGAAATTATGTGAGCGCAGCCACAGGCAGTCGGCTCTGCACAGGGCCTAGAAAATACTGAATCAACACTCGCTTAGCAGAACACCCTTACAAGAACTGCCGTGAGGTCACTTTTAGTCCTTTGCTCCCCCTTCTTGTAGATTACCTGTCGCAGAAATAGTCATGTGTTTGGTCGCACTGCAATATTTACAGGATTATGTTGCGGGGGAACATTGCATGAAATAACACAGAACAGGCCAAGACACTTTCCTAAAAGTGGGAAAAAAATTTATTTTTTTCATTTCACAACTTCTCTGCTTCAAGGTTTCAGTGATTGAGAAGGAAGATGAGAATGTAAAAGTGGCCTATGGTGAGGACAGCCCCATACCTGGCACCTCAAGGGGACTTTAGCAGCCAGCCACGCTCTGTAGACTCACACCAACCTTTTCCCTGCAACCTTGTTAAAGGGCCTTTAGGATTTACCCACACAGCTCTCCCACACTGAGAGGCAGGGGTCCATCCTGAGGATGCCCAGGAGCAGCCAAGCAGATCAGCACAGGAATGATACAAAACAACCTCAAACAGAAGAAATAAGCATCGGACACAAGAGCTGGCTTGATGTATCAAAGGATGTATCCTTTTTCACTGAGCATAAGCGCACATTCCATGTTCCCGCAGGTTTCTTGATTGTGGGCAAACAATTATTCCTATAATTACAAGACTAACTATACAAAAAAAAAAAAAAAAGGAAATAAAACGGCAGCAGAATTCAAGAAGGTGCGTTTCTCCCACTGTTCAAAGGGCAGTGCTCAAGAGACGGCAGCGTACACAGCCAAGCGCTTTGGGGTGTCGGCCTCCTCCGCTTCCCCTTCTCGGGGCCGCTTGCGACTGGTGGAAGGCTGAAAGCAAGGGAGCAGTGTTTAAAAGAAAATCATTGGCTCTGTAACATAATCAATATGCTTTTCAAAATGTTGCAGGTAAGTTCTGGGGGCATTTCCAGGAAACTTCTAATATATTCCAAGTGACCATCTCTGTTCCTATCACACACACACCCCCAAGTTGAGCATATTTACCCAATGGGTATTTCTCATCCTCGTTAAATACAGCTCTGCTGTTGTTAGCTGCTACTATCTCGCCTTGACTCTGGGCAATCAATACAGGAGGAACAAAAGCTGTCCTAGATCTTCCCCATGATCGGCTGTGGAATGGATCGTTAATGATCCATAGGGCTTTGTTTGGGCTAGTTTTCTTTCTCATCCATCCTAGTCTGCAAACTCCACTTAAACTCAGCATCACATCAACATTCAAGCCATGGCTGTGCATGAGGTGGACTGGCCAGGAACTGAACCAGGAAGGGCAAACACCAGCTGCTGGTGACTCAGTGTCAATTCGTGGCAACCCCTTAAAGTAGAGCTGTTAGGCTTTTCAGAAGTAAATCGCCTGACCTCTCTTCTGCCGTGCCTCTGGGCAAACGCAAACCTCCCACCTGGGACAGCAGCAACCATTTAGAGCAGCCAGAGATGCCTCCATTATACTCAGCCTTCGAGCGGCCATCATCAAATACCTGTGGTGGAATCTGGGGCAGGACTGCTGGTTTATTTTCTTCCAAAAGCAGCTCCTGAAACTTTCTTTTCATGTCTTCATCCTGTAGAGAAGTTTAAAACATAGGTACAAAAGAATGAAAAAGAAAAAAAAATGCCCACCAAAACCTAACAACAACAAAAAATCCAACCAACCAACATACGTACAAGAGGAGGGAAGAAAATGTGCAACAATGAATAACGGTCCAAGGGAAAACCAATTTGTTTTTGTCAACTTTTGTTCAATTAACAATTAAAGGAGCTCTGGTGGCCTAGTGGCAAAAAGCTGCACTGCAATCCTGGAGGCAGACGGTTCACATCCACCAGATGCTCTGCCTGAGAAGGAGGCACAGTCTCCTATGCACCAGTTGGAACTGACTCAACAGCACACAATAAAAACAAACAAACAAACAAACAAAAAACCCACAAAGAAAATCAAAAGAAAATAAAAATAACAATTAAAAAGGGATAAAGATTTAATATATGTATATATATATATATTTAAAACCAACATGAATAAAGGAAATATATATATACAAATATAAATACACAATATATACAAATTTTGCTTATAAGCCAATATAAAAGAAGAATTAAAAAAATTTTTCAAAACCAACATGGGCACACTGTGTTTGAGGAGAGAACGTATAGACTCATGAATAGCCGAGGATGCCCACACCAAGAAGCGACAATAAGGGCAGCAACACCGGTCTGTCCATCAAGAGGGATCCCGCCCCTTCCAGCTGAAGCTCCCAAGGGATTCCTTGTCTATGTTCCCAGAGCTTGGAGCTTGTCATCAGCAAACAAAGCTCTGGCACCAGTGGCTGAATTAAACCCCAAGTGCAAGAACCCTCAGTGGGCTCAGACCTCAGCACCCCAGAGACTGAGGGAGCTGGCAGCAAATAGGAGGTGAGGGGCAAGGCTGGCACAGCTCTCAAAAGGACAGCCCCATACAGCCTCTGAATCTTTCCAATACAGCCTCCTAATCTTTCCAGAAGATTCCATCTCCCATCAGCTAGTGAGGCCAGTAAATCAGACCATGCTGACAAAGCTGTCCTAGCACCTACAAAATCCATGCAGCCGGGGCTGGACAAGTCGTGAGGAGCCCTTCAAGTCTCCCAGAGCTCAGGGCTGAGAAGGAAGACAAAGAGCAGGCTGTGACCAGACATGACGGTTCATGCTGCAGGAAAGGAAACTAACACAGACGGGGAGGCAGCAGCCGCGCAGATGTGTATGCATGTGGCACCCACCTTCCCCAGGGCTCAAGGATTTCTGGGGAGATCAGAATGGCCTGGTACGGCTATCCCTACCTAGAGGAAGGCCACACATCCATGACTTGGAATGTTGGGCTTGGGGACCAGCCAGAATCCCAGCTGACCACTGGCTGTGTGGAGTTCAAAGCCATGTGCTTCTTCACCCTCCAAGCTAAATGCATGCTGGGGGGAAGGAAAAGCTGGGCATGCAGTAGCAAAGGCCTCTAAGATTTTATTAGCTGTGTGCTAGAGAATTAATGACAGCTTCGTCTATCCTGTATCTGCAGTGACAGTCGCCACCTTCAATCACTCTGTCTCCTGAGATACATGGTGTAGCTCCCCAATGCTCATTTTCAGGACACCTAGTGTGTCAGGCCATGGTCTTTTCTGTCACCTGCTAGGCCTCTGAGAGCTGAACAATGAATAAGGATGACAGAACAGAATCGATGCCTTTGAGCTGTGGTGTAGAAGAAGAGTACTGAACAGCCCATGCCAAAAGAATAGAGAGATATGTCTCAGAGAAAGTGCACCCAGAGTGCTCCTTAGAGGCAAAGACAGCGAAGCTCTGTCTCATGTACTTTGGACACATAGCTAGGTGAAGCTGTTCCTTGGAAAAGGACACCATGCTTGAAAAGATGGCAGGTCAGCAAAAGAGAGGAAGACCCTCAGGGAGGTGGATTGGCACAGGGATTGCAGCAATGGATTTGAGTGTGTCAGAGATGAAGAGGACGGAAAGGGTAGGCCAGGGTCGCTATGAGTCGTACTTGACTCCAGGACACCTAATAACAAGAGCTGGCCTGGGGGCCACGCCATGCTCACTCGAATGCTTTAGGCTCTCTCACTGCTCACGCAATGTCATTTCCCAAAAGCCACTCCTTCCTTTCCCTGGACATGCTCACGCCACAACACCGCCCCCCCCCAGGAGCCTCCTGGTCTTCCTGCCCATTCATCTCAGCTACTTTCAACTAAATGAGCAACCGTTTCCTGTGTGCAGTTACGTGTCTCTCTGTCTCTGTCTCTCTCTCTCTTTCTCAAACCTGGTGCCCTCAAGTAATTTCAAACTCATACAGAAGCGTGGACATGCCCCAGAGCGTTTGCACTGCTGTAATCTACACAGGAGCAGACTGTCACATCTCGTCTGGTGCTTTAACTGACAGGTTCAAACTGTCAACTTCTGGTGAGTAGTCCAATGCTTACTAGAACTTTCATAACAGACACCCACCCACTGTCATAGAGTCAATCCTGACTGAAAGCCTCTGTTGAGATTCTGAGGCTGTAAATCCTTTTGAGCAGAGACTGCATAATAGATATTGGGGCTCTGGTGGCTTACTGGTAAGGAATTGCACTGCTAACTGAAAGGTATGTGCTTCAAGTACACCAACTGCTCTGCATGAGAAAGATGGTCAGATTCCTCCCATGTGATTTACTGCTTCTGAAAACCCACTGGAGGATCAGCTATGAATCAATTCTAACTTGATGGTACATAACAACAACAACAACATTTAAATAATACTTTAATATATATACACACACACACACACACACGCACGCTCTGGTGGCCTAGTGGCAAGAAGCTGCACTGCAATACCAAGGCACAGTTCAAATCCACCAGATGCTCTGCTGGAGAAGGAGGGGATCTCTCCTGTGACAGCTGGATCCAACTTGACGGTACACAACAAGGGGGGATAAAAATAGGTATGTTGTTGTTAGGTGCCATTGAGTCTAATAGGTCTTACAGAGACCCTATGAACAGAATTGAAACCTGACCTATCCTGTACCATCCTTATCCTCCCCAACATACTTGAGCCCCTCAGAGGAACACAAGCAATACTGACCCACCTAGCCCCCAAGTCCTTCCCAGGCCACTCACCGCTTTCAGGCGGTCCACCCTGTGAGCCCACAGACAATTGGCCCATGTCCGCCTGTGGATTCCACACCCCTGCACCTCCTCGAGCACAGGTGTCACACTGCACTGCAATTACTATGGTGGTCAAGACGCACTCCCACCCTACGGCCAACCACCCAAGGCGAGGCCTGATCTCATTGGTCTGTGCACCCACCCTGGCCACAGGGCTAGGAACACAAGCTCCTTAATTGTCCTCTGACAGAGGGAATGAACAAACCAATCAAACCATGGTGGCAAGTTCTCACATGAGAGCCATTCAGGGATGCCAAATAGCTGACCACACAGCTCTCCTAAAACAAATCATACACACACACACACACACACACACACAAATAATTGTTTTTTTAAAAAGTACTAAATCACATAGTACAGGTAGCAATGTGTATCTGCAAATATGCTTCCTTTTGAGATATTTACCATCTAGTTAGAAACAGAAATTAAACTGTTGTTATGTGCCGTTGAGTTGTTTGCGACTCATAGTGACCTATGTACAACAGCCCTGAAATCTACTCTAGCCTTACTGTCAGCCTTACTGTCTCTGACACACCTACCACCATTACCCCAGTCACTGAATCAATCCATCTCATCCAGAGTCTTCCTCTCCTGCTGTTCCTCCACCCTCTCAAGCATGTCCTTCTCCAAGGACTGGTCCCTTCTTGTAACATGTCCCAAATATGTCAGACAGAGCTTCAGAATCCTTGTCTCCAAAGAGCAGGCTGGGCTGAAGGGGAGCTCTGGTGGCCTAGTGGCAAGGAGCTGCAACTACAATCCCAGAGGCGAATGGTTCAAATCCACCAGATATTCTGCCGGGGAAGGAGGGGCAGTCTCCTCCTGTATCAGTCAGATCTGATTTGACGGTACATGCACACAAAGAGCAGACTGGTTTCACCCTTTCCACCAGGACTACTATGTGAATTATAACTTCCAAATAAATTCTTGTTTAATAATTTAAAAGACATTGTAAGTTATAAAAGCAAGTGTTTTCCATTGTTTCCTATGCATCTGAAGGTTGAATAATTAATAAAGAAGATGAAAGAAGAATCGATGACTTTGAATTGTGGTGTTGGCAAAGAGTATTGCACATAACCGTGGACAGTCAAAACAACAAACAAATCCATCTTCTCTTGGAGGGAGTGCAAGAAGGGTGTTCCTTAGAGGCGAGGATGGTGAAACTTCCTCTCATTTAGTCTGGGCATGTTGTCAGGAGGGGCGAGGCCTTGGAAAAAGGGATCATGGTGGAAAAGGTGGAGGGTCAGCGAAAGGGAGGAAGACCCTCAACCAGATGGCTTAACATCGTGACCACACAGTGAGCGTGAGCATGACAGAGATGGGGAGGGACAGTGCAGGACAGGGTAAGGCTCGGGTCTGCTGTCCACAGGGTCACTATGATCGTGGTTGGCTTGACAGAGTCTAACAACACAGCGAACAGGAATAAAAACCTTCCAGTTCAGGCAATGAAAACGAGGCAGACACTGGACATTCGGGGCAGACTCCAAAACTAGAAAGTGTGTTAATGACGACGCAGAGACTAGAACCTGTATCCTCAGTGCTCAGTCGAGTTCCAGGCTCACAAAACCTCTGGGTGTTCTTTTTGGGTTTTTTTTTAAAAAGGACTGTATTTTCCCCACATTAAAAGCTAGCCTCTCAGCAGGTGATGCTTTAAATGAACCATCTGGATCAGTGTCCCCATACAGTACTTGTCCTACCTTTTGCTGTCAAAGGAAAATGGGGACAAAAAAATGTTTAGCTGAGGCCTCCCCAAGGCAGGACTGAATGTCATCTTTCCCCCAGGTGTTCATAACAAGCTTCTTTTGTCACCGGGGGGGAAAAAAATAAACCAAACAAATCAGCCACGGGCTGTGCGTGTTTACTAGTTTCCGGTTGAGGGGAAAACCATGCACAGGCCTACGTGTGAGCCAGCTCCGCTCTCTCTAGACTAATGTAGCTCCACTTCTGCTCTCTGGGAGTTGCCCTTGGATGCCTGAAAAGAGCCCCAAACCATCTCTCTCTTTTTCATTAAAATGAAATCCCCACATGCGAAGGTACCCTTTGTTTCCAAACTCCATTCTCTCCAGGGTCCTGCAGCTTCAAATCTGTGTGGTCTGTTAAGTGCTAAATCATCTGAAGGGATTTCTTCAGCAAGGACTGCTGTTGCCAGGGCAACATCCCAAACACATCTATCTGCCTTGTTGCTGCTGCTGGGGGGGGGAGAGGGGGATGTGTGTGTGTGTGTGTGTGTGTGTGTGTGTGTGTGTTTCTAAGGATTTGCTGTTTTCAGACTGAGCAAAACTGTCCAATGTGAGGGGTTGGAAGGGGAAAGTCAGGGACAATTTTCCCTAGACCCCCAAAGCATGGTGGTTACTGGGGCCACCAAGGAGCTCTCAAGCTACCTGGTTAAACTCACATTTTTTTTTTAGTATGTATTTTTTAAAATATATATTTTTTATTTTATTTCATTGTTTGTGTGTGTGTACCATCAAATCAGATCTGATAGTTACAGGAGGAAATTGTTCCTCCTTCTTCAGCAGAGCATCTGGTGGATTTGAATCATGCACCTCTGGGATTGCAGTGCAGCTTCTTGCCACTAGGCCACCAGAGCTCGCCTAAACTCACATTTTTGAAACGACCAAAAGAGCAGAAAAGGCCACAGCCTTGCTGAATGGAAGCGCACATTTGAGAAGAATCCATCAGAATACCTGCCCAACACACTAGCTAATTCCAGAACCAAAGATGAGCCCAGCAGAGCCACAAACAGCTTCCATCTCTGGCAGCTCAAAGTGACCTCATTAGAGATAGCTCCCCTCACCGCAGCCACAAGGCACCCAGGACCACAGAGCTGAGGCCAACTCAAATGCACAGGCTTACACCAGTGGCCTGCCTGTTGTTGCTGTTGTTAGGCGCCGTCGAGTCACCTACCACCCACAGCAACCCTATGTACAATAGCTCTGAACTCCCCCTGTCCTGAGCCAGTCTCACACACCTACCCTCCCATTGCCCCAGTCACTGTATCAATCCATCTCATCCAGGGTCTTCCATAAGGGAAGTGTCTTTCATGGCATGCCTACTCACCATGACTAAGATACAGTCCCTTTAATACCTGAGCTCGTCCCGTGACCCTCCTCATCCTTAAGCTGTTCCCTGATTGAAGCTGAAAGCTGACTAGAAGGCAGCCCCTCCACCTGGGGGCAGCAGAGGGTAGTGGTGCAGAGGAGGGAAGCACTTTTAAAGGAGCGGCGCCCATCTTCAAGACTCAAGGTATTTTGTGAAAAACAATGCATTCAAATTTTGTAAATAAATCAGTATAAATTTTTTTTAAAAAAGGGGAGCTCTGGTGGCCTAGTGGAAAGGAGCTGCAACTACAATCCCAGAGGCGCACGGTTTGAATCCACCAGATGCTTTGCCGGGGAAGGAGGGACAATCTCCTCCTGTACCAGTCAGATCTGATTTGACAGTAAATTCACACAAAAATAATAAAATAAAAAAAAAATTTTAAAAAGACCAAAAACAAACCCAAAAAAGGCTCAAGGTAGCCAAGAACCACCAGGACAGGCCACAGAAGAAGCTTAGACATCCAAGATGCACATGGCAAGTCAAAAAGCTTCTATTCCTCCAAATGCACACAAAAGAACCCTGGGTGCAACACTTGGTACTCAGTTGTTTACCAAAAGGCTGGTGGTTCAAGTCCACACAGCGGTGCCCTGAAAGAGGTGGCCTTTTCTTCTATAAAGGTCCCCACATCGCCAGAGCAGTGATCATTCTGATGCATCAGTCAAGTCATCACCATGGAGCTGGAACTGACTCCATGGCAATAACCTAGAAGTGACTGAGTGGTAAAGAGTTGCACTGCCAAGCCAAAGGCAGGAGGTTCGAATCCAGCAGCTACTCTGCAGGAGCCAGATGGGCAGTCTGCTCCTGTGCAATATACTGCCTCTGAAACGTGCTGGAGAGTCAGCTGTGAGTCTGTTCCATCTCTACAGTACAACACAGCTGACCCTCCAGTGAGTTTTCAGAGGCTGTAAACTGCATAAAAGGAGACTGTCCATCTTTCTCCCATGGATCAACCTAATCCCTTTGGGTTGGTAGAGCAATGCCTTACTCATAGACCATCAAACTCTCTTTAGTGCTCTTAAATGACAGAGGAGAACTGCCCCATACAGTCTCTAGGGCTGTAATTGTGATGGAAGCCAAATACCACCTCCATCTCACTTGGAACAGCAGACAGTTTTGAACCATTAACCTTTTAAGCTCAGCACTTAGCTACTATGCCAGCAAAGCTCCTCCTGTAAAGACTAGAGCACTGGGCCAATTGGCAACACCATGACAGATGAAGAGGAGATTGAGGTTGTTAACAGCTTCAGTTTGCTCAGCTCCACAGTCAATACTCTTGGCACCAGCTGTCAAGAAATTAAAAGCCAAATTGCACTGGGAAAGTCTGCTGTCAGGGACCTCTCCAGAGTACTGAGAAGCAACGATGTCAGTCTAGAGACTAAGGTGCGCCTTATCCAGACCATGGTCTTCTCAATTACTTGCTTTTCATCAGAGAGCTGGATAATGACTAAGGAGGGACAGAAGAAGACTCAATACCTTTGAGTTGTGGTGCTGGAGAAGAGTCTTGAACACACCATAGACCACCAAGACAACAAATAAGTCTTTCTTGGAGAGGGTGAAACCAGGCTGCTCCTTGGAGGCAAGGATTTTGAAGCTCTATCTCTCATGCTTTGGGCACTTGGCCAGGAGGGACCAGTCCTTGGAGAAGGACATCATGCTTGGAAGGATGGAGGGTCAGCGCAGGAAAGGAAGAGCCAGGAGGAGATGGACTGATACAATAACTGGGGCAATGGGGGTTGGTATGTCTGGGTTAGGGAGACTGGCTCAGGACACAGCAAGCTTCAGAGCTGTTGTATATAGGATCACTATGAGTCGCAGGCAAATAGAAGGCACAGACTAACAAAAACTCCATGGGACAGTTCTAATCTGTCCCATGAAGTCACCGAGTCAAAACAGACTCAATTAACACCTAACAACAATAAGGTTCCTAAAAGCTCAGCTTTAAACATTTAACAAACTCATGTCCATCTTCAACTCTCTCAAGCACAGATCACCTCCAGGGTTTCATGCCAGTGGACACTGCCCCACACCCACCTGAAGCCACGGGTGTCTTAATGCTTCTTCTGTGGTGAAACGTTTCTTGGGATCCACGACCAACAGCTTCTTGACAAGGTCTAGAGCTAAAGTAACAAGGTAATTTGACTAAAAGCAGTGCAAAGGGGAAATCCATTACAACAGCGCTCTTAAATGATGCCAGAAGCATAAGCCAGCATCCAGAGAAAAGGGGAGGAGAGTCTGAGATCATCCTGAAGTCACCAGAAGTAACAGGCAGGGAACCTAATCCTCTCATTTCCTTCCTCAGGGGTCTAGAGTTTGACAGCCTCTTGGATCTCTGATCCCACTCTCCTTACTGGACTCAAGTTTCGACTCATTAAAGCCGAACTTCCACCCAGTTCTAAGTTACTCAGGATGCTCAGTGAACTCTCCCTGAGTCTAAGAGACTAGTGGCAAGAGGCCCTAAACCATTACAGAAACTTCCAGAACCGCTGGATTGTTTGAAATAAAGCTTGACTACTCCACTAAGGAAGAACTGGCAGGTGGCTTGTATATTACAATGGTTTCCCTTAAATAAACATGCTGGCATTGAACTGCAATCATCCATGTTTCATTGTTTGGCAACTATGCTACATTTTCAGTAAATGTTTCTTTTCCTTCTGAGAATCATCAAGTTGCAGCTTGAGCTTATAAAACACAAAGTAATTCTTTTCGCTCTTACATGCCAACTTATCTCCAAAGAAAGTAACCAAAAGTCACTTATTATTGTGCACTTAAAGTACCAGGCACTTGTATACTTCACTCTTGTTGCCTTCTAATTGATTTTCACTTCATAGTAACCACATGAGACCATAGAGTTCTAAGAGTTAAATGGCTGTTATCCCTGAAGGAGTAGATTGCTACATCTACCTCCTACAGAACAGCTGTGAGGGTTCAAATCACCAGACTTATTATTAATAGCCATAAACTTTAACCATTTTGCCACTGGGGGCTCCTGACACTTAAAACTCAAACTCACTGCTGTCTCATAGCAGTTGCAAACAGCTCATAGCTCACCTTCTAGCAGGTTTTCAAGGCTGTAAATCAGATGGCAGGAGACTGCCCATCTTTCTCCTGAGAAGCTGGTGGATTCAAACTACCAGAGAGAGGCGTGGCTTCCGGGCTGGCAGCGCAACTCTCTACAAACTACCTCACCTGAGCTCCCTTAGATGGGGGGTTACTGGAGTCTTTTCCACAAATAAAGAAATGGAGACTGGAAGGGTTTAAACCTCTAGTGACAGACCCAGGAAATAAGCTCAGGTCAGCCTGGTTCTGAAGAACAGCTCCTGGAATCATCATTTTGCCTTGCAAAACGGACAACCGAAAAGGGAACAGGATGGACAAGAGGGAGCGTGACTGAATTGGGAGAGAAATGCCCACCAAAGCAGACAGACACATTGCCGCAAACCACAGCTTCTTCAGAAACCTTCCATGTCCATACCCTTCTCTGAGACCTCTGCCCAGACTTCAGGAATGAGGTTGTATTTTCCCGTGGTGATCTGATCCTTCAGTGACACTTGAGTCTTATGCTCAGAGAAAGGTGGATACCCACTAAGGCTTAATGTCGGCAGAGAGAAAAGGGAAGAGAAATGAAGAGGCGTTCTCAGTGGCATTCGGATACACAGATTTCTTGTTCAACATAATGAAAACCCAGAAGAGTTTTCTTTATAGGCAAAGATGACTTCAATTTAGACACAAGCTTTATTCTACCCAGGCGCATTTTTTATGCCATCTTATACCTCCAACCAGAATCACGATGCAACAAAGCGGCTCTTACCAGATAAAAAGAATAACACCTAAACTCCAGCAGTCCACAGCACGGCTATACCCAGCAGTCCCAAAGGACAGGAGAACCTCTGGAGCCAAATAGTTGGGGGTACCACATAAGGTCCTCATGAGAGAGGTCTCTCCTAGAATCTTGGACTGCCCAAAATCAGTGATCTACAATGAAGGACAAAAAGAAAAAAAAATTAAAAATTAGGTGATCCCTTATATTAAGAAATTAACATAATAACCAGCTTTTAGTGTGGCCTAATGTTAAGAAGTTACACTGTCATCCCTAAGGGGCATGGTTCCACTCCTGCCTCTGAAAATTCGCTAGCGGGTCAGCTGTGGGTGAGTTCCAACTTGATGATACACAACAACAACAACAAAACACCAGCACCAAAAGAAATGCTGGCTACATTAGTGTCCATTGGACAGCTCATGACTGTTAAGCTAAAATGTCTGCACTAAAGGCACTTAATTCTGCTTAATTATGGTTGTTCAGGCAAGGAATCTCAGGACCCAGGGTTTCTAAACTTAATCAGTGTTCTCAAGATTCTTAATCTTTTAGTTAAGATGCAGACACTGAGGGAAGCTCTGGTGGCCTAGTGGTAAGGAGCTGCAACTACAATCCCAGAGGCGCATGGTTCGGATCCACCAGATGCTCTGCCGGGGAAGGAGGGACAATCTCCTCCTGTACCAGTCAGATCTGATTTGACGGTACACTCACACAAAAATAATAAAATAAAAAAAAAAAAAAAAGATGCAGACACTGAAATTCTAACTAGTTATATAGGGCTCTTCTCAGACCTGTGGGTCTCCAATGTGGCTGCCCAGTGAAAAGCGTAGAAACAATACTGACACCAGGTTCCCACCTTTGTTGAGTGCCATCGACTCCCATTTCAGCTCATGTGACAATGAATCCATGTGACAGATTAGAGCAGTTCCCTGGGGTATTCTCGACTGAGAGCTTCAGGGGAGCAAGCTTCCAACTCTTTCACCCATGGGGCAGCTGGGTGGATGCAAACCACCAAGCACTTCATCACTGCATCACCAGCCAGCCCATCTCACTGCACCCCTTCACTATCCTTAGCAATTCTGATCTAAGTGGTCTAAAACACAGCCTGGATATTATGATATATATATATTTTTAGAAAGACATCTGAATGATTATTCTGAAGTTACATTAGCCTTTACATTACATTACATTAGTCTTTACATTAGTTAGAGGCACTAACTCTGACCACTCTTTCCATGCCCTGAGCATCTGCAGTTGTTGTCAGGTGCTGTCAAGACGAAATCAACCTATGGCTGACCCTCCAGCAGGTTTTCAGAGGCAGTAAACTGCAAGGGAGGAGACTGTCCATCTTTTTTTCCCACAAAGCAGCTGATGGATTCCAACCAAGTTTCTCTGGGTTGGCAATGTAACTCCTTCCACGAGGCTAGGAGAGCTCCCTCTTCTAAGGATTAGAGGTGCACATACAGAACGGAACACAGGAAATGTTCCTTAGGATCTAGGTGAGAGCGATACCACCTGGTTTCTGCAGTGAATCCTGCAAAATGAGGAGGTCGGATTTTCAACCACATTACACTCCCATTTGTTCATGTAAAACTCGTTCAGTTAAAAGGTGGTTTCTGAACAGACTCTGCATGTGGGTGTGAGGTGTGGCCACATACAGAACACCAATGTCTTACCTTTATAAGACAGTCCTCTTTTTGCGATGAGAGTAGGACATTCTCTGGCTTTAAGTCCCGGTGTATAATGCCATTTCTGTGAAGGTACTACAGGGAGACAAGGCAGAACATAGATTTATGGAGCAGGTACACGAAAAGAGACAAGAGTCAGCCCCACACACTGCTTACTGAGCTGCAAGCCATATTCATCACACCTAACTTCCCCAAAGGAAGCTCTGGAGACCTAGTCAGTAAGGAGTGAGGCTGCCAATCTAGAAGCAGGTGTTCGAATTCATCAGTTGTTCTGCGGGAGAAAGACGGGCAGTCTTCTCCTATGTAATTTATAGCCTCTAAAAAAAGCCACTAGAGTGTCAGGTCAGCTCTGGTGACCTCATGGCAAGAAGCTGCATTGTAAGCCCAAAGGCACACAGTTCGAGGCCACCAGCTGCTCCATGGGAGAAGGATGGGCAATCTCCTGGGCGATTAACTGCCTCTGAAGACCCACCAGTGGGTCAGCTATGGGTCAGTTCTGACTCGATGGAAAAGAGCAAATAAGTCAGTGATGTTTCCCCAAATGACCAGAGCACTGCTGGATACAGGCGGTGCTGCTGTTGTTCAAACTCACAGTGACCTCATGTGCCTAAGCAGAGCTGCTGCCCATAGGATTTTTTCTTGGCTGTATTCTTTTAAGGAAGTAAGTCTTTCTCCCATGGAGCTACTGGATGGGTCTGACCCACTAACTTTTGGGTTGGCACACATGTCCGTAACCATTTGTACCCCCAGAGCTCCTTGGCTAAGAAGACTAAATCTATTTCCAGGATAATCTTAAAATAGAAAAAAAAAGTTTAGAAGACAACATAAAATAATAACCTTTTAATTTCACTTTGCAAGTTCATAAATACAAATTTGTGTTGGCAAAATGACCAAAAAAGGTCCATTTTAACTAAAAAAAATATAAATACATAAAAAAATGAAGCATATTTTGGGACTATACAAAAATAATCATAAAAATTTTATCAAGTGATATATTTGGTTAGTCTAGCCCTAAGAGTACTATTTTTAAAGAGAATTTATAAACTATATATATTTCTAAAACAACTATAGAAATACTTGATGCAAAGACTGACATTGTTTTCAATACTTCAACTTTAAAACTGGCCACCAGATGTTCCGCTGGAGAAGAAGGGGCAATCTCCTCCTGTGCCAGTCAGATTCTATTTGACAGCACACAACAAAAAATAACAAAAAGCAAAGAAACAACAAAAATCTGTCTGAAACCGTGTGCACATAAAAAAGAGCAAGACAAAAATAGATTAATGTACCAGGTCACATTTCTTCAGGAAAACCAATATATTTGTATTTTCCACATCTACATACTCCATCAATTCTTATATCCCTTTTTAAATTTTAACTATGGGAAATACACAAGTAACAAAACACGCGCCACTTCAATAATCTTCACCTGTACACACGAGGTGGTGAAGGAATTCATGACCATTCACTCATGCACAATTAGGTTAATGTGCCATGGCTCAACTTTTAGCCAAACAACACACAGGCCGACAAGGTTAACACCAGGGAGGTGACGCACTCCTGAGAACAACCAACAACACACAAGTGCAAGAGCAGCTTTTGCCCAGTGACTGAGCTGAGAAGACAGGAAGAGCTAGAAATGGAGGACTAGAAACAAGACGCACAAGGAGGGAGCAGGATGAGTGCCATTACACGTGATCATCACAGATCAAAACGTAAAGAGAGTGTTGGTGGGAAAGTGGTAAGCATAGCTGCCTTCCAAAATGGATATGGCCTATTAAATAGAAAACCAATCTGCTCTGCAAACTTTCACCTCAATCAGAATAAAATGTTAAAAACCAGAAATACAGCAGAACCAATTTGTTGCCATCATTCTGACCCTGGCTAACTGTGACTTCATGTTATAACAGCATTAACATGTTGCTGTTATGTGTCATTGAATCACCCTTGACTCATAGTGACCCTCTGTACAACAGCTCTGAACCCTGCCCTATCCTGAGCCAGTCTCACTGACTCTGCCACACCTAATACCACTGCCCCAGGATATTCTTGGGTGTAATCTTCACAGGCCTGGACCTCCTCTCCTTATGCCTCCAAGTAAATAAATTCAAACCAATGCAAACCACTGGTGCCACCCAGAGACTGTTAAGTATGAAGAAGAACAGGAAAAAAAAAACCAAAACCAGACCTATGGGCTTGAAGCCAATTCTAACTCACACTGCCCCACCGGGCAGAACTGTCCCATCAGGTGTCCAAGGCTGCACAATTTTTTTTTTTACAAAAGCAGATGGCTTCATTTTTTTGTCTCTCAAAGCAGCTAGCAGGTTTGAACTGCTGACCTGGTTAAAAGCAGAATGCTTCAACCACTGTACTACCAGGAGGGAAATAAGCAGATAAATGAATTAAAAAACCTCACTGCCAAAGAGGAAGAACCAACTCACAGCTGACTCTCCAGCAGGTTTTCAGAGGCAATAAATTTACAAGGAAGGAGACTGGCCATCTTTCTCCCTCGGAGCAGCAGGTGGATTTGAACCCTTTGGGTTGGCAGGGCAGCTCCTTACCTATGAGGCCAACAACATTAAAAAGGACTCGCGTTTGTGAGCTTCAGTCTTCTCCAGTTGTCCCTCTGGCAGACAACAAAAATTCTTTCCCCAAACTGTTGTTGTTGTGGTGATGTGCCAGTTGAACCCAACCATAGCTGACCCTCCAGTGGGTTTACCTTCTGGCGGATTTTTAGAGGCAGTTAATATCACGGAAGGAGATTGCCCATCCTCCTCCCATGGAGCAACTGGTGGCCTTGAACCATGTGCCTTCGGGGCTACAGCACTGCTTCTTGCCACGAGGCCCCCAGCTCTCCCTTCCCCAACTATTGGGCAATGGACCTGGGAAAAGCCCAAGGAAGTACAAACTGAGGTGGCCCAGCCTCAGACAATCTCTCCTGCCCTCAGTCAGGGACGTGCTCCAAGTGGTCTCGAGTTTAGAGTGGGCAGCTGAGGCAAGAAAGCTCAGCTGGGAATGGCCACAGCCAGATTAGGATTGAAAAAACAACGGACAGAGGTGACAGCAGAGCAACAGCGAGGTAACTGATATCACTGGATCAGATATGTAATAATAATGAGATGGCAAAGGTTTTTTTGTTATATATACACATATAAACAAGACACTCTTGACAGCTTAGTGGTAAATTGCCCTCCAACCCAAAGGGAAGTGGCTTGAATACACCAGATGCTCTGAGGGAGAAAGATGGGCGATCTCCTCTGGTGCGATTTGCAGCCTCTGAAAACTTGCTGGAGAGTCAGATCCATGAGTTGGTTCTGACTTGACAGCACGAAAAAAAAGTATTTACACATACATTCATCACAATTGTTTTAAAATTATTTTTTCATTTTTTAATTTGAGAAAAAGGTCTACAAATCAAGACCTTAAAAGTCAATACCTACTGTCCTGTTGCAGTCACCCCAACCTGACAGCCTGACCTTCGTATCTATCCAGCATCCAACATAAAAGATTTTTCTACAAGAATCAAGCAGAAATCTTCTCCTGTGTGATTAACTGCCTCTGAAAACCCAATGGAGGGTCAGCTATGAGTCAGTTCCAACTCTACAAAATAACAATAAAATAAATAAAAAGAATCAAGCAGAAGTAGAAAGAAAGCAACATTCCTCCAGAAATATGTCCAAGCTAACAAGCCTGTACGTAGGATTCCTCCCCCCCTTAATCCCTTTCTTACTGTCTGTCTGGCTTCCCAAAGAGCGATCTCTCATCTGGGTCAAACATGTAAGATGTTTTTGCCAAAGGAGAACAAAGAACACAGACTCTTGTCATTGAATTCTCATCCACAATTCTACAATTTTGGCTTAACACAAGGAGTGACTGACCTAGAAGAATGCAAAGTGTCAAAAGTACTCAGAACCTGAAAATACAGGATAACTAAAAGCATAATTCAAAGGGGATTAATTTTAGAAAACACGATATACGGGAATGAGTGTGGATGGAACACAATGTGAATGAAGGAAAGTGTGAAACACAATGTATATGAATTCTGTATGTAAAACAATATAGAATAAAAATTAAAAAGAAAAAAGAGTACTTGGAGTTTCCCCTACCTGTACAGCCAGGAGCATCTGATAAAAATAGAGTTTGCAGGTAGCTTCTTTCAGACGTCTGTTGCCTACAACCCTGTCAAACAGCTCTCCTCCTTCCATCCTAAAGCATACGGGCAAAGAGGGTGAGTTATTTCCACAGGGAAATGGTCACGAATGGAAGAGAGTAACACAAACACAGCAAACTCACTAAGGCTGCTTAAGCACGGAGTGGCCATTTTTCTCACTTTGATGCCGCAGTATTAAACCCAAAGACACAAAAAAAAATCTCATCCATAATCAAATGTCCCAGCAGGAAACAAATAAATAAGGGCAGAGAGAGTGCAGCTGATACTGGAGACAGACACTCAAGAAACTTTAAAAATATCTGATTCTAGGAGAGCTCTGGTGGCCTAGTGGCAAGGAGCTGCACCTACAATCCCAGAGGTGCACGGTTCGAATCCACCAGATGCTCTGCCGGGGAAGGAGGGACAATCTCCTCCTGTACCAGTCAGATCTGATTTGACGGTACACTCACACAAAAATAATAATAATTTTAAAAAAAAAAGAATAAAAAAAAATCTGATTCTGATTCGATAAATTAGTGGCTGGGGGAAAAAAAAATCCACCTACTTTCCTAACACACAGCCCAGGTGGTACTGAGGTCAGTAGTAGCAAGTATAAACCATCATCAGATGACTGGGAATCTAAAGCCCAACCACATCATTTCCCAGTCTTATGACTTTGAACCTAAGAAGCTCTGGTGGTTCAGCAGTAAGGAGATGCACTGACAACCCAAAGATGTACAGTTGGAATCCACCAGGGGTTCCACAGATGGATGGATCTCCCTTCGTGTGATTTTACTGCAAATCTGCTGGAGGGTCGGCTATGAGTCGCCTATAACTCAGAAGTACACAACAACATGACTCTGGATAAGCTATTACATCTGAGGTATAATTATATATACATATACAATTATATCGCTCCAGTCACTGTATCAATTCATCTCATCCAGGGTCTTCCTCTCCTGCACTGTCCCTCAAACTCTTCCGAGCATGATGTCCTTCTCCAGGGACGAGTCAGTTCCTCCTGGCCATGTGCCCAAAGTATGTGAGACAGAGCTTCAGAGTCCTCACCTCCAAGGAGAAACTTGGTTTTACCGGCTCCAGGACATAATAATACTTGCTAAGGAGCCCTGTTGGCACAGTGGGGCATAACGCGCCATTGCTAACCTAAAATGTTGGTGATTTTAACCTAAAATGTAGGTGGTTTGAACCTACACATTGCTTTGGGGTAGAAAAACGTGGCAGTGAACTTCTATACAGATTCTCTCTCACTGCCATCGAGTGAGAATTAACTAACTGGCTTCCGAGGCTGTAACTCATACAGACTTGACCCACCCCTCTCGGAGCTGCTAGTGGATTCGAACCACCAAAGAGGTGTGAAGCCTTTGACTTAGCACAACTCCCTACAGACCACACCAGCAGACAAATTTCCTTGCCATCAAGTTGGAACAAACTCATATTTGACCCATCACTGGGTTACTGAGGTTATAAATTGCATGCAAAGAGATCGTCCACCTCTGGTCTTTGGGTAGCAATGCAACTCTCCACAGATTTCATCAACAGACCCTTGGAAGCTCTTCCGAACAGTTGTACTCTGTCCTATATGGTTCCTATGAGGTGCGAGCAATTCTATAGCAGTGGGTCTGATTTTAGAGCTTGCTTTGTGCCCTTCAACAGAAGAAGACCTCTCATATCATAATGGGGTTTGGATAGAATTCCTAGCAAGGGATTACTCCTTTTCTGGAAGTGGAGCTAAAAACTATAAACCTTTAAAGTTGTGAAGGTTAAATGATTCGTGTAAACAATCAGTTGTTGTGTACTGTCCGAGTAAGAAACAACTCAGAGCTGGCCCTCCGGCAGGTTTTCAGAAAAAGGAAGTCACACAGGAGAAGACTGGCCCACCTTTCTCCTGCGAAGTAGCTGATGGATTTGAACTGAGTGCAAACCCACCAGGGCTCTTTTTTTTCCCCCCCAAAAGTTTTCCTTAAGGATTATGCTCTTTTTTTATTATTATTTTATTATTTTGTGTGCATGTACCGTCAAATCGGATCTGACTCGTATAGGAGGAGATTATCCCTCCTTTTCCAGCAGAGCATCTGGTGGATTTGAACTGCATGCCTCTGGGATTGCAGTGCAGCTTCTTGCCACTAGGCCACCAGAGCTCCCTCCAGAGCTCTTTTAAAGATGCAAAAATGGCATCTGACTCCTTCAGCTAACTCCACAAGAGGAGACAATCAAGAGTATCCACTTTAAGTGGATTCTCATGAAGCAGATTTCAAGATTTATTGGTTCAAGGCTGATTCTCATGATGTGAAGTTCAAGATTATCCACTCAAGCCTGATTCCCATGAAGTGAAGTTTAGACGAACCTATTCTCATCAGCTTTGCTCCCAATTCTGACACTACTCATTCCACTCAGGGCAATCGCCACTTCTATGATGGACTCAGTAACACCACAGAATCCACAGCCAAGACCCCAATAATGAGGATTATCAGGGAAGTGGTTGTTAGGTATCATCAAGTCGGTGCCAGCTCACTGCAACCCTCTGTACGACAGGATGAAATAAATTCTCTCAGCCAGTCCCGTGTCACCCTCACAACTCCTGCTGTATCTGAGCTCACTGTTAACAGTCACAGTAAATCCATCTCATTGAATGTCTTTCGCTTTTTCACTGACCTTCTACTTTTAAGTACGATGCCTCTCTCCACACAGCATACCCAAAGCATAGAAGAAAGTCATCATCCTCACCTACAAGGAATTTTCTGGCTACATTTCTTCTAAAATAGTGTGTTGCTTGTTAGACAGCCAATCAAGAAGTTGGTGGTTCAAATCCACCTGGTGCTCTGCAGAGGCAAGGCAGGAAAGCCTCCTCTCTCAAAGACTTTACAGCCTCAGAAACACATTGGAAGTTACCACTGTCCTAGTAAACCAGCGGCAGTGGTTTTGGTATTTTGTTTTGTTTTCATTATTCTTTAATTCTTCACCAATGCCATAATTCAAAGGCATCAATTCTCCCTCAGATTTCCTTAGTCACTGTTCAGCTTTTACATGCATCTGAAGCAACTGAAAATATCATGGCTTAGATCAGGCACATCTTAGTCCTCAAAGTAGTATCCTTGCTCTTTAGCATTTTAAAGAGGACTGGGCAGCAGATTTTTCCCAGTGCAATACATCATTTGTCTTCCAAACCTTTTTATATTAGTGATCTTGCACACCCCACAGCAATTCTTCAGTTGCAATCTTTATGTGAGCAAAGCACCAGGTGTTTCTCTCACAGAGCAGCTGGGTGGATCTGAATTACCCACCTGTTAGCAGTTGAGCCTTGAACTATTTTTGACTCTAGGGCTCCTATCAAGCAGGATTCAAACCTAAGACTCAGACTCCACATCCAGGGACAGGAGACCCTCAGCCACCCGCCTTAATCACTGCAGGGGAAGGACAATGAGGAATGAAGGGACCATCAGTCATTATACGGACTACAGTTAACACTGTGGAACAGGATATAATGATTAAGTGACTGGGCCAGAGAAAGCCAAGGCCAGGTTAACACACAGATAGCAACAATCATGGAGGATAGACAGGGACAGGAGTGGAAGGAGGGGGATTGGTGATTAGCAGATATATGCGTGGGGGTGAAAAGAACAAGGGACAGTGGAGATCTGATGAGATGTAATAAATGGCGTGATCAAATGTAATTAATGTTTAATTACACATATAAATGCTTAAATTAAAACCAATCTTTTTAAAAAAACGTTTTCCTTTTCCCACCATTTGGAGCCCATGAAGGCTTCCTGGGAGCAAGATTTCTAAACCACAAAGGTGGCTGGGAGGCTGTGGTACAAAGCCACTTTTTGCTGGCTTTAAGAGAGGTCTCTGGAAGCAGAGAGAGCACACAGCTCTTCTTAAAATTGAAGGTGTTTATGCTCGAGACAAAAGGGAATTCTATTTAGGTAAGAGATGTGCTTATGTTAACAAAGCAAAAAATAATACAGTGATTCCTGGTGGCAAACCTAACAAAAACAGAGTAATCTGGGGAAAGGTAACTCATGCCCATAGAAACAGTGTCAAGGTTTGGGTCCAGTTTTGGAGCAATCTTCCTGCTACAGACACAGAATCCATGTAATGCTGTATTCCTCGAGGATTTAAATGTACTGAAAAGCAAATAAATAAAATTATGGATTTGTTAAAAAAATAAGCAAAGGTGGGCAAGAAGTGGGGTGAAGGAATTAGAAAGGACCCAATGAGGACTTAAAAAGACTGGGTAATAATAGTAGGCACAGATCAACAGTGATTAATTTTTTTTTTTATTTTATTATTTTTGTGGGTGTGTACCGTCAAATCAGATCTGACTGGTACAGGAGGAGATTGTCCCTCCTTCCCTGGCAGAGCATCTGGTGAATTTGAACCGTGCACTTCTGGGATTCTAGTTGCAGCCCCCTTGCCACTAGGCCACCAGAGCCCCCCTAACAGTGATTAATTTTTTTTAATTATTATTTTTTGTGCATGTACCATCAAATCAGATCTGACTGGTACAGGAGGAAATTATCCCTCCTTCTCCGGCAGAGCATCTGGTGAATTTGAACCGGGTACCTCTGGGATTGCAGTACAGATTCTTGCCACTAGGCCACCAGAGCTCCCCAACAGTGATTAATTTTATAAAACACAATGTACATGAATGATTGACACACAACGTGAACATAGGAATGTATGAAACACAGTGTACATGAATGATACACAGTGTATGTCAATTTTGTATGCAAACCAATATCAAATAAAAATAAAGTTCTTGTTGTTGTTGTTTGAAAAAAAAGCCCACAAAAATAAGAAACAACCCCTGAAATCAACAGAACATACATTGAGGATCTTTAGGACAGAAAATGCAAGTCACCATTGGAATCTTTGGTGGCTTAGAAACATTTTAAGCAGCAATGAAAATGAAAATGTTTACTACTTACAACTCCAAAACAATGTAATAATCTTCTGCATCAAAAAAGTTCTTAATCTTGATGATGCAAGGCTGAAAGAGTGAGGGGGAAAGAAAAGTAATGAGAAACTTCATAGAGAAAAATCACACTTGGGACATGTCCCTATTAGGGTCTAGGAGGATGGGACCCAGCGCGTGGCAGCCCTGTCTTGGGACACTTCAAAGCTAGGTGCACATGAGAAGATGGGACAGAATGTGGCTAGTTCCTCAAGGAGGGCAGGTGAAACTCTCTGCTTCCCCCAAAGTATATGAGGAAGAAGTTCTTTTTCTTCCATACACAGGGTTGACATCCAAGAAGGGAGGTTCTTCCTAGCCCTCCACCCATCCCCTGGGAGCAGAGGTACAGAACCTGGCATATAATAACCAGGACAAGGAGAGACTCCAGCCACACCACCAGATAGCGCTGCAATTCAACTCCAGCCAAATGGAACTAGAGGAGCTCAGGTGACAAGATCCTTCCATTTTTTAAGAGAAGAGGAAAATTCTCATCTCGTAAGAACCTAACATGGGGTCTCATTGGGGAGGGAAAGAACGCCGAATGAGAGAAGCGTCCAGCTCTACCTATGATGTAGTTTTCATTTAAATTAGATGGCAAGTTAAAAAAGTGTCCACTGTAGGTCTTTTTATCATTTATATTGTTGTGGTGGCTGTGTGCTGTCAAATGGATTCTCTCTTTCACAGACACACTCTCTTCCCCATGGCTGACAATTTGCTACCTCTGATCACCATAAGATGCACAGCAGAAATCTTGTGAGTCAAAGGAAAAAAATATGCATATTTATTATCATGATCTTATATCCAAAAAGGGAACTGTGCTGGCCTAGTGTTAAGAAACTGTGGTGCCATCAGGTCCTCGTGGCAGACAGGACTGACAGGCCCCAGCTCCCAGCTGGAAACAAAGGAGGACACTTCAACGATTTAGATCCTCCCAGAAGAGCCGTGGATGAGCATTAACATTACTAGTAAGTATATTCATTTTTTCCTGGACACAGAGAAAAAGCTTTCTGAGGTCCCAACTCTTCTCACTATCTCTTAGTTGTTAGAATAGACAGAAAACCTCATAAGCAGTTCCTTATTTCACCTCTACCTTGCATGTGAACTTCCGAGTTGTAAAACAGCCCAGTGGTAGATGGAATTTGCTCCAGGACTTAAGAAGCATAAATGACATAGCTGAGCCTCTACATCTTGTGGTTCCTAACCTCTACACTATAATAGACAAAGTGCTAGTCTATAGGCCTTTTATTGTAAGAACCACCTTCCCTCTGTAACTTGATTTGTGCCACTACTAGAACCTCTACTCAGAATATTATTGCTTGTTAATTTTTGACTCATGTACTTTTAACTTGTTAGTTAAATTTGTGTCTTCTAGGTTGCAACACCTCCATGATACATCTTCAAGGATATGAACATGTACGGCTAAGCACAATTGACAACAGTGCATCTAAATTCCAAAATCAATCTCCATAATAGTCTATGTGTTTCCTACTGCCAAAGTGGCACTTTAGAGTAGTGAGAGAAGATCTTCACCCTGAAACCCACAGCGTCCCTTTTCAGCAGGAAGTAGCTAAGAAAATACGCCATCCCCTTTTCCTTATGAATCAGGATGAAGTCTCTCTCAGGGAGGAGTGATAGGGAATGGCAAAGGACACACTGACAAAGGAGATTAATCAGAACTGGCTTTGACAAGTACTGTGGCAACTGGACCATTAAAACAGACATTCGGGGGGGGGGAGGAAGAAGAATGAATTGGGGAGGAGGGTAGAGAAAACAGTGCAACAATAAAGGAATGAAAACCCAAAATCTCTGTAAATGTTCATTAAAACGAATAAAATTTAATAATAATAATAAAAAAAAAAACTGTGGTGCAATGCCAAGGGTATGCAGTTCAAATTGGCCAGGTGCTCTGAATGAGAAAGATGGGCGATCTCCTCCCAAGTGATTAACAGCCTCTGAAAAAACGCAGGAGGGTCAGTCAGCTATGAATGAGTTCTGACTCGATACACACAACAACATTTAAAAAGAGGAAGCTCTCTCTGGTGGCTTAGTGGTAAAGAAACTGCACTGCCAATGCAGAAGTACACAGTTCGAATCCACCATCTGCTTTGCAGGAGAAAGATGGCCAGGCTCCTCCTGTGTGATTTTCTGCTTTTGAAAACCCGCTGGCAGGTCAGCTATGAGTTCCAACCTGACAGTATTCAACAAGAACACCTTTTAAAAGAAATATCCCTGACAGTGCAAATGGTTATGCACTCAGCTGGGAATACAAAGGTTGGAGGTTCCAACCTCTCTGGCAGCTCTAGGAAAGAAAAACCTAGCAATCCACTTCAATAAAGATTACAGCCAAGGAAATATTAAGGGACAGGTCTGCACTAACGCTAGGAGATGGGCCTGACTTAGTAGTCTCTAACAGGAATAATATTTAAAAGGATGGCAAAACTTGACAGAATGCTCTTTCTACAATTAAATTCCATGGCACTCAAAGAATGCTGATAAAGACCCTCCACAGAGCATCTTCCTTCCCAAGATGCCTTGAGAAGAAGTAGCAAATGAGCACAATACTGCCCCCAACAGATTGGTCCTGGAAACACCATTCTGAGTGGAAAAGACTTCATGGAGCAGGCTATATTCCTAAGGTTCAGACACAAACAGTAGATCGCTCTCTTGTTCAGGGATACCTATTAATGTGCAGTCTTTAAAAGGGTAGCTCCGGAGCTCTAGTGGCCTAGTGGCAAGAAGCTGCACTGCAATCACAGATGTATGCAGTTCGAATCCACCAGATGACCCTTCAGATCCAATTTGACAGTACACACACACACACACACACACACACAATAATAAAATAAAATTTTAAAAAATTTTAAAAGATAGCTCTGTTGGGCTAGTGGGATAAGGAATTGTACTGACGGTTCAAAGACAGCAGCAGCTCCGAGGGAGGAGGATGGGCAGTTTCCTCCCATGTGATTTACAGCCTCTGAAAACTCACTGGAAGGTCAGTTAAGAGTTGATTCAGACTTGACAACTATCAGGTTAGCTGAGTCTTTAAAAATAAAACCCAACAAAACAAAACAATGCGAGCTGTGGTCGTCTAGTAGTAAGAATCTGTGCTGCAATCCCAAAGGTGGGTAGTTCAAATCGACCAGATGCTCTGCTGGGGAAGGAGGTGCGATCTCCTGTGCCAGTTGGATCCAATTCGACTGCGCGCGCGCGCACACACACACACACACACACACACACACACACGGAACAATAAAAAACAGTATTCCACATAATGAGGTCTCAATGGGAAGAAACAAGGAGAGTTGAGCGAAAGAATGACTCAGGTCTGTCTATGGTCAAGTTTTCATCTAAATTGGATGGCAAGTTTAAAAGTGTTCATTTTACTGGTTCACTTTTATCATATATGTTGTTATTGTTGTGTGATGTCAAATGAATTCCAGCTCCTAATGACACCAGGAAGCAGAATGGTACGGCCCCATAGAGTTTTCTAGGCTGGGAGCTAATTATCAAGCCTTTCTATCAAAGAACCATTGTGTGGGTTCAAATTGCCTCTTTTTTTGAAAAAATTAATCAAAGAATCCAGGAAACACTGCACAAAATAGAAGAAATAAGAATAAATAATGCTGAGTCACGTGAGTCGGTCACCAAAGGACAATTATATGCTATCAGACCAGTAACATAAATAGCTAAGAAACAGTGGACATGTAGAATCAATATTGGAGTGGTAACAAGAGGGAGAAGAGAGTCAAAAGATAAAATGAAATTATTGTGAAGTACATAAAATAGGGACTGTTGTTGTTAGGTGCCGTCAAGTCGAATACTGACTCTTAACGACCCTAAGAACAAAAGATCTGAACCCTATTCCATCCTGCGCCATCCTCACACTCCCTGACACACAAGAGCCCACTGGAGCAGTCACTGCGTCAATCCACCTGGCTGAGGGTCGTCTTCTCCTTTGCCAACCCTCCACCCTTCCCAGCATCACGTCCCTCTCCAAGGAATAGCCCCTAGGAATAAGATTGCAGGATGGGCCATCTACTTCTTAGGTAACAGGTCTTTGAAAACCCTACGCACACTAAAGGAATGAGGATAGTTATAGCAGTGTAGTGGTATAGACATGTTGTTGTTGTCAAGTCACTTGCGACTCATAGCACCCCTATGTACAACAGTCCTATACCCTGATCCATCCTGTGCCAATCTTATTGTCTCCAACACACCTTCTCCCATTACTCCAATCACTGAATTATTCCATCTCATCAAATGTCTTCCTCTCTTGTGCTGTCCTCTTGCGCTCCACTCTCTCACGCATGATGTCCCTCTCCAAGGACTGATCCACCTTTCAACATGTTCAAAGTATATCAGACAAAGTTTCAGGATCCTTGCCTCCAAGGAGCAGCCTGGTCTCACCCTCTGTAGGACGAACCTATTTGTTCTCCTGGCAGTCCACAGTATATTCAATCCTCTCCTCTAGCACCATAGCTCAAAGGCATCAATTCTCCTTCTATCAACCCTAGTCATTGTCCAGCTTTCTGACATATAGAGAATATAAATTTATTTTTTAAAAAACAACAACAGCAAAACAGAGAGAGTCCGTCCCTGATTTTTCATCTCTATTGTTTAGTTATAAATGGGGGAGGGGCTTGAGGGGGAAACTTGACAAACTGCCTATCTTTTGGTTAGAAGTTAAGGGCATAACCATTGCACCACCAGGTTCCTTATATTTTTTAAAACCCAAAAAGCCTATCACCACCGATTAAATTCCTACTCAAAGTGACCCTGTGGAAGGAACAGAGTAAAAATTGCCTCATGGGGTTTTCTGAGGCTCCAAATCTTTACTAAAAGCAGTTTGCCACATCTTTCTTCTATGCAGCAGAAGCAGTAATTCTGTATTTACGTATGAAGTGACAAAATAAATGTGACCATTAATCACTGTCCATGTAATAAAGTTGCTTAATTATTCAAAAAAATAAATAAATAAGGCAAGCTCTGGTGGCAAGGAGGTGTACCAGAGATGCATGGTTCAAATCCACCAGATGCTCTGCTGGAGATGGAGGAACAATCTCCTCCTGTACCAGTCAGATCTGATTTGACGGTACACACACACACACACACACAAAATAATAAAATAAAATAAAAAATTTTAAAAAAAGAGAAAAGAATGGGAGCTGCTTAGTTTGACCTCACTTCACAAGAAGCAGGACCAGCTCCCCAAAAGGAGTCCCCAAAAAGTGTTGTGCTGGCACGGCGAGCCATTTAGTTTCATCTCTGCTACCTCTAAGGTTTGGGGACTTGGGCCCTCCCAATTGAGAACGTCCTCTGCCAGGAAGTGGATCCTCCACTCAAGTCAGGGAGAAAAGGACTTAGGGAGTCAGACGTATTCAAATCTGTTTTTTATGCTTTAAGGGTTTGGTTTTTTTGGGTGTGTGTGTGTGTGTGTGTGTGTGTGTGTGTGTGTGTGTGTACTGTCAAATCAGATCTGATTGGTACAGGAAGAGATTGTCCCTCCTCCTCCAGCAGAGCATCTGGTGGATTCGAACTGCTCACCTCTTATGCCTTAAGTTTTATGAGCTCATCTCGTAGAATCCTCACACTGACCGTGCAAGATAAATACTCTTATTGCCTCCATGTCACAGAAACAGAGGCTCCAAGATAGGAAATGTCATTCCCATAATATGCGGACGAGGAGGTAAAGGAGACAGCATGGAAACTCAAGTCTGGTCCCCACTAGACTGAAGCTACATGAGAAGGGGCAGCACGTGTCATAACCCTCTGCACTCACCCCTGCTTGGGCCTTGAGACAGCCCAGAGCAGTAAGTAAAGTCAAAGTCACTGTGATCAAGCCGAAATGACTCATAAAATCAAAGCTGTAAAACGCACAGGAGGACAGTGCTTGTCTTTCTGCCCTGCAGCTGGTAGATTCAAATCACCAGAAAAGCACAGTCTGGCTCAACAAAACAACAACGCCATCAGAGTTCCCTTAAGCAATATGTGCGTAACAACTGAACAAACTAACACTCAGATCCAAAGGCCAGGTTCCTGGCACTGGGTTCTAATCACTGTTACTACACATCAGATCACACTCATGATCCCATGTTTAATTTCCAAGAGTTGTTCAAGTGTCCTAGAAAATAGCTCAGAAATATCTCCAGGAATGTATTTTGGTGTTCAACATTCTACTGCAGTGGACAGTGATTTGTATAAATGTTATGCTTAGGGATTTTGTGACATCAGAGAAAATTCTCTGGCAATTCTGAGTGTTTATTTTAGGGGTAGGCTGGGTATAGCAACACCCTAGAAAGTTAGAAGGTCCCTTTCTTTAAAGAGAAAGGCCAGGTTCCTTGGGAAAAGAATGGGACTTTCATATGGAAATTCTAAGAAAGTCAGTCTCCAGGGTTTCCCAGGTTTGTAGGCTGCCCCCACTGAGTTCTACAGAAGTCTATTGAATTACAGCGCCAGCAGCAATCATTTTGTTCTGAGGTTCTAGCTTTGTCAGGGTTGCTGTTGGATTATCTCTGGTGGTTTGCACCTACTAGCAGCTCCAAGGGATGAAGATGTCCTCCCACCTTAGAGATGGTAAGAGGAAGGAAGCCTTTTCCCAGTTCAGAAGTTGTTGTTAGATGCCACAGAGGTGTCAGTGACTCAAAGCAACCCTATTAACAACAGACAGGAACCTGGGAACCTCGCCCTATCGCCCTATCCTAATGACCTCACAGGTCACCCCTGTATGCATGGGGGTACCCTGTCGCAACACTGTCCTTGAGGGCAGATCTTGAAATAATTCTCTTTGCCTATGAATATAATACCATTCCCTCTTCAATTTGTCAATCCTAGAATCTCATGGTTCTCAATCAAAATATCCAATATTCTGATAATGGATATCTCAGCTCACTAATGCTTAGGACATTGACCTTTATGTGTTTCATTTCATTTATGACAGCTTCCCATTTTCCTAGGTTCATTCCATATTCCAATTGTTAACAGATGCTTACAGCTGTTTCTCCTCATCATTTGAGTACCTTCCAAACCGAGGGCTTCATCTACTGGCTCTGAATCCAACAATGTTCGTGTTACTTGATTTGGAAAGGCCAGCTTTTTTAAAAGTGAATGATTAGTCCTGCTTCAACATCTGGAAGCTACACTGAAATGTGTTCATTGTGGGTGGACCTTGCTCACATTTTATATACTAGGCATCGCTTCTGGCATCAATGCAACCAAGGGGTTAAATATCCGAATAAGAAAACTAAAGTTTTCAGACTAAACTTATTCAGACTAACTTATTCAGACTAAAGTTCGTATTTCAAGTTTCATTCCAAGAGCTTAGTTTATGATTTTATGTGTGCTTGTAAATTAATGAAGAAACTAAAACACAAGAGTCCACAATTAAGGTGGCATAGTTGGGGCGGCGGGAGGGGTGTGGGGGGATTGTGTACCAGGAAGGAGTGTTTCTTTTACTTTTGAAAGAGAGGAGCGAACTGGGGAGGGGGGGGGAGGGATGGGCGGGGAGAGAAGTGCAGCAATGAACGAATGGAAATCCAAAATCTCTATAAATGCTCATTAAAATTATTAAAAAAATAAAGCTTGACAAATTCACTGATCCACAAATATTAAAAATAGTAAATATTGTAAAAAAATAATTAAAAAAAATAAAGCTTAAGAAGAAAAAAAAAGAAACTAAAACAGCAAAACAGAGGATGGAATCAGTCCTATGATTGTTTTTGTCTCTCTCTTTTTTTAAAAAAAAATGTGGACACACTATGCATTGAATTTAGGTCAATACTATATCTATATATATATATGTATAGATAGATAGATAGATAGATATAACAAAGATAACACTCAATAGGGCCACCAAACCACCCCACCGAATCAGTTGCCATCAAGTGGATTCTGGCTCAGGGAGAATGCACGTTGTGTCTGAATAAAACTATGCTCCATAGAGTTATTCAGTGGCTGTGAGCTCTGAGAAGCCGACTGCCAGGCCTTTCTTCCATGGTGCCGCAGAACCACCAACTTAGCGTAGCAATTGTAATCATTAGTGCCAATCAGGGACTCCGGTAACACCACAGATGCCATTAAGTCAGATAGAAGGGCATATATCTCTGACACTTTAGGATACCTGTGGATTCATTGTATTTACTCCAACTAAAATAAATGGAAATTTGTAGTAGTTCAAAACATTTAAAGATGTGAAAACCTCAGAGAAAATGAAGCCAAATTTACTAAAATGGGCACCATCTTCTGAGACAAAACTAGTTGGTCCAATTTCAGGTAGAGCTCCTCTCAGCCAAACAACATCCATTACCCACATACATGCACATGTACATGTATATGTACACGCATGTACGCGCACATTAAACAACCCAGATTAACGTCAGCTTTAGTACATTGAAATGCCCCATGTGTATAAAAAAGTGAACTGAACTCAACCAGAAACCACCTCCGTGAGCACCCTCCATTCAGCCCCATGTAATCCTATAAAAGGCAAAGATAAAGGCTGATGGGGAGCTCTGTTCTTAAGACATTAAGTCATAGCTCAAAGGGCAATAAAAACCTTTTCCCCTAATGCAAATGAAACAAAAAAAGAAAGAAAGAGAAGTGAGCTGAACAAAGTAGGAGTTCTATTTCATAGTAATACTTACATGATTTAGCTTTTTCAGAATTTCTATTTCTGTTTCAACGTTGAGAGCTGGATCCTTTGACAAACAACATTAAAATCTATTAGTAGTAATAACAGGAAATCATTTTCAAATATGTACAGGTAAGCTTGGATCTGTCCAAGTCCCAAACCCAGCTCATCTCCCACAGAAAGGAAGTCATTTGACCCAGTTTCCACTCACAACAATGACCTATCTTGCAGTGGCCCCATGCTAAACGATACTGTAATACTCAATGCCCTTTCAATTGGAATCAACTCATAGCTGACCCTCCATTGGGTTACCCAACGTTCTACAACAGATGAGAGGAGATTCCCTATCTTTATCCCAAGGAGCTGCTGGTGGATTTGAACTGCTAGAGATGTGCTGCCTTTGTGACAACACTTCAACTCTCTACAGACTACAGTCACCAGAGCTAAACTAGTAAGTTCTATTTGCTTCATTAGCTATGGAAGTGTTTACGTTCATAAAAACAGTAAGACAAAAAAACGTAAGCAAGGAAGTATTTCTTAAAAGTCAAACTTCTAAAAAAAAAAAAGTCAAACTTCTTCCCAGCAACAATAGCAAAGTTCAACAGGACAATAACAACAACAAAAAAAAATGCTGATGAGGTTGTGGAGAGACTGGAACTCTTATTTACTGCTGGTGAGAATGTAAAATGGTACAGCCACTATGGAAGGCCGTCTGGCACTTTCTCAAAAAGTTGGAAGTAAAAATACCTTTTGATCCAGCAATTCCACTATTGAAAATATACCCTGAAGAAGTCAAAGCCACATTCAAACAGATGTATGCACACCCATGTTTACTGCTGCATTATTCACAATAGCAAAGAGACAGAAGCAACTTAAATGCCCAAAAACAAACGAATGGATAAAAAAAACGATGATACAGTCACACAATGGAATATAATGAAGCCCTGAAAAACAATGTACTCATAAAACAGTCTATAACACTGGCAAGCCTAGAAGACATGCTGAGTGGAATATCTCCATCACAAAAGGATAAATACTCTGTAACATGAATGTTAAAAAATGGAATAGATGGGGTGGGGTGGGCAGAAAACGGGAAGAGTAGATAGATAACAAACACTGCAGCAGAACAGACGCGGGAAGAGTAGATAGATAACAAACACTGCAGCAGAACAGACGAGGGGAAGAACTGTTTGAAAGGAATATATGATCAGGCATTATATGTATGCCAACAATCTGGAAGAAGGGGTGCATTATTGGATGGGCTGGGGGAAGGGGGGAAGTGTGCAACTAAAGAAAAAAATAAATATATACATTTATATATAAAGAATAAAAATAAAATTCCTAAACTCTCAAAAAAAAAAAAAGTCAAATTTCTAATTATAAAGCTGATACAAGGGAGCTCTGGTGGCCTAGTGGCAAAATGCTGCACTGCAATCCCCGAGGTACGCAGTTCGAGTCCACGAGATGCTCTGCTGGAGAAGGAGGAGCATTCTCTTCCTGTACCAGTCAGATCCAATTAGACAGTACATGCACAAAAAATAATAAAATAAAAAATTTTAAAAAAACAAACAAAACTGATACTGATTAACTGCAGGCTGACATATCTGTCCCATTCGGAGGGGAACAAAAACATCCACCAGCTTCATCCAAAGGCAAGAAATGCTTCAGAGTTCTGAAGATGCTCTCCAGAACAATTCCAAAAGGATGAATCGTGTAATTCCACACCCGAGCTACACCCTCCCCAAGCAGGGAAAATATAGAATTACATATTTATGTAATAAAAGGATTTGGGCTAGGCAACACAGATGTTTAATTGTAAAAACCTGCCCCTTCCTGCTCGCTGTTAAACTCATTACTGAATTAGGGTATACTATGATGATAGATCTGGAAGGGTCCAAGACAATTTGCAGAGAAAAAAAAAAAGACAGCAATTCGCAGAATGAAAGTAAAAAGCAAAGCTCTCTAGGTGCAAGGAGAAATCAGTAGAAGTGGGTGGACAGACTGTGGGAGGAGGTATGTGAAGAAATAGGCAAGTGGATATTCGATGTATAGCATGGTAAAAGGCATTGATCACTCAGGAGCAAAGATTTCTAAAAATACTACCTAACGTGGGAGAGACTGGAGGGCATTATGCTGAGTCAACGAACTCAGCCTCATAAGGACAAATACAGCATAAAACTATTACTGTAAAAATAGAAGGATAACTAGTAAAATGTGTATGTAGATCCAAGGCAGGGAAGGGAAGGGAGCAGACGGGTAAGGATGGGTACGGGGAAAATAACAGGGTCACACAATTTGGTGGGTGGAAGGGTGGGGTGAAGGAAATGGGAAAGATCCAGAGGGGACCTGAAAAAACAGGGTTAATGGTAGGCCTAGTTCAATGGTGATTGTAAAACACAATGAATGAGAATGATTGTATCAAACACAAGGTGGGTGAAGGGAAGTGTGAAACATAGTAACAATTTTGTATGCAAAGCAATATAAACTTTTTAAAAAAGGCATTAATCAATAGTCATTAATTACATAACGCACAACATATATGATGGTATAAAACATAATGAACGTCATAAAAAAAAACCAACCTGTAATGTATATGAATGAAATACAATATATATGAATGATTGTGTTCAAATAATATTAAGCCATATAAAATAGATTGATTACTTTAAGAATACTGGTTAGCAGGGTGTAAAAAAAATAAAGACACATAGCAAAGATTTGCTCTAAATCATTCAGAAGCTGGTAAGCTTTCTCTGCTCCCTCAAAGGGGAAGCAAATCTTAATCACAGGAGGGGAAAAAATCTCTAGCAAAGCTAATCCAGAGAGGAAATTCTTCTTGGCCCATGAGAATGCATTGTCTAGGGGGAAAAGAATCGATCTTTAAAGAATGTTGTATTATAATAGCCAGAAACAGCTGGTCCTGAATAAAAGTGATTAGGGGACGCATTTTACATCATTCGGCTGGCTTGTGTACGTGAGAGGGGAAAAAAAGAGCCAAAACATTTGGCAGCGTTACCTACCAGTAAATGCAGATTACAGAAAAATGCAATAAAATGAATGGCTACTGTAGGAAAAGATCATTATAATAATTTAATTAAAATGAAAAAAAAAATCCGCAACAATGAATGAATGAAAACCCAAAATCTCTGTAAATGTTCATTAAAATTAATAAAATTTAATAAAGAAAAAAAATCCATAAGCACTAAGATTTCTATTGCCACATTACCAAGCTGGGCAAAGAACTGGCAATTACCCTAAATGATCAGTCAACAAAACACCTGAATAAATTATGACACAGGAAAACTGATTTTAAAAAAACTCACTAAGAAGAATATATTAGGAAAGGGCTGGTTAACACACATACGTGGAAAAGCAGAATAGAAAATTATACATATAGTATTTCGATTTGGACTGCATATCTAAATACAGTATTTGTATTTAGATTCAAACCATCTGAAAACATTAATTCATATTCAAAGACTAGAAGAAAGATGAAATTTACAAACAGCTGTCAGATTATGGTGGTAGGATCATGGCTGGATATTTATTATCCTCTCCCAATTTCCAAAGGAGTATAGAGTTGTACTGTTAACTCAAAGGTAAGAGGTTCAAATCCACCAGGTGTTTCACAGGACAAAGATGGGAAATCTCCTGCCATGTGAATCACAGCTTCTGAAAACACACTGGAGGGTTAGCCATGAGCTGGTTCCAACTCAATGGCACATAACAATTTTCTTTTTTTCATTATAAAAACAAGCTTGGAAAAACTTTGAACTTGGAAGGTGAACATTAACTTCCTCCTATGTGCACATTTTTCAGAGGAATGATCGTGGTACACTGGTAAAGAGCTGTGCAGTCAACAGAAAGGTGCATGGTTCAAATCCTCTAGCTGCTCCACAGGAAAAAAGATGGGCATCTCCTCCTGAGTAATTTAATGCCTCTGAAAGCCTGCTAGAGGGTCAGCCATGCGTTGGTTCCGACTCAAGGGTACAAAACACCACCATCCTGTGAATCCTCCAGTCCAATTCAATCTTTGTGGAACCAAATCATCTATAGTCATATCTCAGAAATACATTGCAGGTTTGGTTCCATGTCAGTTCAAAAATGAGTATTGCAAGAAAGCAAGACACTAACTTTTTAGTTTCTGAGTGCTTATAAAAGCTATGTGTGTGGTGGCAACATGAAGAAGTTTGACATACACAAAAGTGGACACATGCTGTTGAGGGAAAAGCACTGACAAGCTTGCTTGATGCCAGGTTGCCATTAGCAATCAATTTGTAAAAGAAAAGCAGTTATCTGCAAAGCACAGTAAGACAAAGCATAATATAATGTCTGTATAAGGAACAGTTTCTATACTAACTGAAGATACTAAAAAAAAAAAATTTTATCATTCTATGAGAGGAGCTCTGGTGGCTTAGTGGTAAGGAGTTGCACTGCCAACCCTAATGCACACAGTTCAAATCCACCACCTCCTCAACAAGATGGGCAATCTCTTCCCTTGTGATTAAACCGCCTCTGAAAGCTCACTAGAAGGTCAACTATGAGTCTGTTCCAACTTAATGCTATGTAACAACAACAGCAATACACCCAAATTCTTTCTGAGACTGAAAAATTACCAAATTATGGTTATTTGGGGAAGTTAAGAAGTGACAAGAGCAGCTGACCAGCAGAGCAGAACAGTCACAAACACGTATTACTTACCATCTCTCTTGTTGAGCCAATAGCAAACTTCCTTTTGCTGATGATCTTTATAGCTACTTTCTTACATGTTTTCCTCTCGAAAGCCAGCTTCACTTCTCCACAGGCACCACTGCAGATGAAAACAGACAGTGATTGTCAAGATGTTTCAAATCAACAGAACCACTCCCTCTTAAGTCAGTCTCAAGTATTATAAGTTCAATGGTCTATATATCAACCTCTCCTTTGTCTGTTTTCAGAGAAGACAGTGAAATCTCATTCCTATAAAATTAAGAGCACAACTGGACTGTCCAACAGCAACAAGTGAAATCATAGATCATATTTTTAAGCTAAGAAATAGACTTACATCTTAATGTCCCCCAGATTTGAAATTTCTAAAGATATTAAGAACAAATAAAGGAAAGGGAGAGGGCAGAAAGAGAAATGACTTCTGCAGTAAGTGAAAACTCTGGGGGAGCTCTAGTGGCCTAGTGGCATGAAGCTGTACTGCAATTCCAGAGGTGCGTAGTTCTAATCCACCCGATGCTCTGCTGGAGAAGAAGGGACAATCTTGTGCTGTACCAGCCAGATCCAATTTGATGGTACACAAACACACACACACAAAAATTTATTTTTTTTTTTAAAAGTGAAAACTCTGGTGGCCTCGTGGTAAAAAGCTGTCATTCCAAAGGTTCATGTTTCAAATCCACCAGCTACTGTAAGAAGGATGAACAATCTCCTCCCAAGTGATTTACTGACACTGAAAACCCACTGGAGGGTCAGCTAGGAGTTGGTTCTGACTTGGTGGCACATAATAACACAGGTCAGAGAGAAACAGAACAAGTATAGGAAGAAGGGAGAAACAGGAACCAAAACACAACAGGGAAAGAACAGAAAGAAAGATGTTAGACCATACAGAAAGCAATCTGTGCCATGAAACAAAATGTGTATGATCTCCTGCAGAGAAAATGAATCTCCTCTTCAAACCTTCATCCAAATCACAAATTAAATTCACCCATCAACAAGTGAGTGGATAGAAAAACTGTGGTATATTCACACAATGGAATAATACACAGCACTGAAAAACAAGGAACTCATAAAATATTATTATTGTTGTTGTTGTTGTTGTTGTTGTTGTTAAGTGCCGTCAAGTCGCAGGCGACTCACAGCAACCCTATGAAGGAGAATCCTCGACACTTGGGTGCCTTTCATCCTCTCTCCAGGTTCACAGGGTTTCCGGAGGCAAGCTATTATGGAAGTGGATGCCACTCCTCCTTCCAAAAATGTTATTACAAAACATTAAAATATCTCAGTCTCAAAAGGACAAATACTGCATAATGCCACTGTTGTAAAACAGGACTGACATGGGGGTTGAGTAGGACACTAGAAAAGGGGTTAACACCCCTTTATAATGAACACTGCATTGGAACAGATGAAAGAAATAACTATTTAAAAGGAATACATGATTTGGTGTTATTTGTATGACAACAATCCAGAATAAGAGGTGCATAACAAAGTGAACTGGGAGGGGGGAATGGAAATTATGCAACAGTGAATGATTTTTTTTTATTATTTTAAAGTGAACTGGGAGGGTAGAGAGTAAAATATAATGTGCAACCATGAGTGAAGAAAATGCATACCAAAAACACAGAGACACCACTTCATAGTCACTAGAATGGCTAGGGAAACACTAGAAAAATAACAAACATTGGTGACAACAAGGAGAAAGAAAAACTTTCATACATAGTAGCACGATGCAACCTCACTGGAAAAATACGAGAGTACCAAAAGTGAAACGCCAAGTTATCATATTATCCAATAGCTGTAATCCTATGTATATACCGAGAGTAACGAAAACATGTATCTTTGCAAAAACTTGTACAACTATCTGTTTACAACAGCCCTATTGCTAACAGCCAAGGCGTGGCTATAATGGAAACATCTACTGATTGAAAGACATCATGAGAAACAAAATGCAGTACATTTACATAACAGGACATTGTTTTGGCAATACAAAAAATAAAGTAGCAATAATTGCTACGTGAATGAACTTTGAAAACTTTATACTGAGTGAAAGTAGCTGTGAAAGACCATGTAAGGTTTGATTTCATTTATATGAAATATTTTAAAAAAGGTAAATCTACCAGGATACTAAGTAGATTCATGGTTACCAGGCACTAAGAGGAACAGGTAACAAGAAGTGATTGCTAATGAGTAAGATGTTTCTTTTGAAAGGATAAAAATGTTCTAAAGTCAACTGTCATGATGATTGCAAAAGTCTGAGTATACTAAAAATGACAGATTTGTACAACTTAAAGGATGCACAAAATATAATCTAAATGACATTATTTTTAAAAAGTTACCAAGTAGATAAAAAAGAAAAATCATTCATTTCCATTGATCTCTACCAATGGGAATCACCTACTAGAGTTATCACAAATAATAAGCTATAAATATCTTATGAATAATCAATGCTTTAAAACCAGCAACCAAAAACTAGCCAAAGATAAATGTTTCATAAAATAAAGTGGAGAAAAATTTTACCTTCCAAGAGTTTTTGAAATGATATATTCATCTCTTAATTCCTTAGGATAAACTGACTGGTCATCCACAGTGAGATCAAAAAATACAAAAACTAATGAGGTAAAAAGAAGAAACAGATTTCATTAGTTCTTTTGATAACAAGAAGAAAATAGGGTTGCTATGAGTTCTCTACAACTGACAGCACCTACCAACAACAACATAATAAAATAAGTTTACAAAATATAAGACTAGGAATCATTGATCTGGGTTAACAAAAATCTTAAAATCTTTAGAACTGCCAAATTTCATCTTTCTATGGAAGATTACAAGTAATACATAACAAAACTGTCTTCCTTATCACTTGACCTCAGAATATTAATAACTACACTAATCTAAGAATCTAAGTAATCACGCAGATTATTCTAGGCACAGAAGGAAAAATCAGTCAGTTTGAGTTAGAAACAAATTTCTAGATAAATACATATCTCAATAAGGATTAGAACATACATCACTATAGGAATACAATAAGATCTGTGAATGTGGGGACTTGGGTAATGCTGAGACCTATCAAAGAAGGAAAATTCAAATATTTGAAAAATTTCAAATATTTTCCACTAAAATGAGTGGTAAAAACATGGTAACATACTGTCAAACACAGAAAACTTGCAAAATGCAGAAAAACAAGGCCGTTTCATGGAGTACCAGTTTTCCCAGGTCTCACTGTATTATCTTTTCTAAGCCATTTATTCCTGATAATTATAGTGCAAACCATCATGTAAAGCTAGATTGTTTAACACATTGCTGCATACTTTTAAATTGACAACCGGGCTTAGAAAAACATTTTGCCGTCATTTGTGGCAATGTATTAGTTTTCTACTATATGTTCTGCCTCTCAAAAAATAATAATAATTTAGCCAGTTCTAATAGGTCAAGTTTATAATCAGTTATCAAATAACTCAGTACTAAGAAGTTCACTATAATAAATCTACAATTACCTATAACATTTATAAAAGAATGAAACACAAATTCACTGCTCCCCTAACATTCCTCCTACCTAATTTTTCTAGTTGTTGCTGTTGTTAATTCCACTCCAGATACAGTGCTCTTAAAAGAACGCAATGCTACAAAAGAGTGAAATTTATTGGGAGCTCTAAAGGCCAAGTGGCAAGAAGCTGTGCTGCAATCCCGAAGACACATGGTTTGAAGCCACCAGCTACTCCATGGGAGAAGGATGGGCCCTCTCCTTCAGTTCCAAGTCTTTGAGTTGGCTGGATTTCATGCACCGGTTCTGACTTGCCTGGATTCTGTCTTCAGCCCAGAACTGACTCATCTGAATGTGCTTTATTCAGGGCTGGCATGCAGGAGGCAGCCACTTGCCTAGAGAGCAAGACCTATTGGTTTGGGAGCCTGCCCACCAGGATCTCTGCTCAATGTTTGTAGATATTTATGAAGCTTTCATGTTCCCATGGCATATAAGAATCTGGGAATGTGACAGTGATGGGAATATTCGTCTCCCAAATGTCAAATCAAAGTGTAATTTCAAGTATTGCAAAGGTTGTCGTCCACACAAGCGAAGAAGGTAACTGACATGAGAAGTACTTGGTTGAATACAGTAGTCACGGAGACCATAAAAGGAAGTATGTCTCCCACCTAAAGGGAACATTCCCCTCACCCAGCACCTACAGATCCCAGAGATGAAGTAATATAAGATCTGTACACTGACATAATCAAACTTTGTAAAAGAAACCTGAATTTTTAGATCAAAGTCACAACTGCCAGCAAATGCCCAGTAAAACACTTAATAGGTTGATGTAGCCCATGGAGTACTAGTTGGGTCTACTTTAAACAGACTACTCTTAAGCCAACACCACACCTTTGTTCAAATGCAAAAAAAGGTGTTCCTTAGAAACATCAAAGAGAAAAATGTGTCCCATATGAACAAATCAATTAGAAATTGGTGACATCAGTTAAGTGAAAGGCAGGCCGTATTTCAATGGCCAGTTGCTCACAAAATAGTCAAACATTATGCAGTCACCCTGACTAGAATGATCAGACAGAAAACAACAGTCAGAAACAAGGAAAATTATCCCATGCACTTCAGGATGGCCAGCATAGCTATTTTTCCCAGATGCTAGTGTGAAGAGTCATTAGGACAAAAACGAAATATATTGTCAGTGAATTGATTCTGACTCCGAGCCACCCTATAAGGCTAGAACAGAAATATCCCTTAGGGTATGTCAAGCTATAAATCTTTACAGGAGCTGACTGTCTTATTTGTCTCCTGCAGGACAGCTAGCGGGTTCAAACTTTTCCAGTAACAGTCTAGCATTTAACTATTGCACCACCAGGGCTCCAGAATCTGGACTTTTTCTTGTAAATCCTCATCTGCTGGATTAAAATCTATAACAATTACCTGAGAATCTGCTTAATATGCTAACTCCTACCACTCCTATATACACACACGCCTCAAGAGTCACTGTGACTCTAAGGTAGATTTACAAAGCTCTGTGGGGTCTTTTGTAAAAAAGAAACAAAAATATTTCCCTTCTCTACTTGTTGCTGTGGTTGTTATGTACTATCAAAGTGTAACTGACTCACAATTGACTCTCCAGCAGTTTTTCAGAGGCAGTAAATTGCACAGGAGAAGACTGCCTATCTTTCTCCCAAAGAGTAAGTAGGGATTCAAACTGCATGACTTTGGGTTGATAGTAAAGCTCCTTATCCTATAAGCCACCAGACCTCCATTATTTGTCTAAAGAATTAAAATTATTATGAGCTACCTTTAACTCTTGCTTATGTCAGAGATTCTTTCTAGACTGCTACAAATGACAAATGTTTCTTTTAAACCTAAGACTGGCAAGTTCTATGAGTAGATGCTTACAAAATAATATCTGATGATGAAAATAAAAATCTTCACTTGCACATGGCTCTTACAAGGCAGAAGGTAAGTTTTAGGATAAATCATTGGACAAATTGAGTCTCTTCTGATAATTCATTGGACAAGACACAGCTTTGAACAAAACCAATCAAACTAATGAAGCCCTGTCTGTCTTGCTGTGACTTTTTCCTAATTTAAAAATCTAATTATATAACATGTTTCGTGCTTCTGTTCTACCTCCGAATTTATTACATAGTGCCTGGGGTCTTGAAAGCTTGCAGTCAGCCATTCAAAGTACAGTAGTTCTATCGTGCTCACCTCAGCAGCACATATGCTAAAACTGGAATGACACAGAGAAGATTAACATGTCCCCTGAGCAAAGATGGCATGGAAATTTGTGAAGCATTACATATTTAAAAAAAAAAAACCAAAGTACAAAGTAGAATTGGTCTTTAGCTGCCTGGAGGAACAGGAGAAAAAGGAAAGTCTGGAAATGAAAGAGGATATGGAACATGTGGTCAATTGACTCCATGACTAACTGCTTCCTTTGATATGAGACCAGAAGAACTAGATGGTGCCCAGCAACCAGGGCTGAATACTTTGCCCAAAAAGACTATAGAAGAATTCAAATCAAAAGAGGAGAAATGAAGAACAGAATTTAAAACTCTCTTAGGAAAAAAAAAAAAAAAACTCTCTTAGGTTCACAATTTTACTGGAGCCATGGGAGCTAGATGAATCTTTGAAATTACTGCCCTGAGATAATCCTTAAAATTTATATGAAAAAAAAATTTTTTGAAACCAAACAGCTATTTAGCTTAACTAGCAAAAACTGCCTTGTCTGCCAAGGGAGCTCTGGTGGCCTAATGGTAAGGCACTGTGCTATAATCCTAAAGGCACATAAGTTTGAATCCAGCTCCATGGAAAAGGATGGGCAACCTCCTCCTATGCAATCTACTGCCTCTGAAAACCGACTGGAGGGCCAGTTATCAGTCAGTTCTGACTTGATGAAACACAAAAACAACTATTTAAGATTAAATTGACAATAACTAGAAAGATTAGGTAGGAACCTTAAGGGAGCAGTGACTTTATATTCATAGATGACAAACAACTAGGAAAAGAAGGGTGAGAAAAGCTGTACAACTCAGAGAAAGTAATCCGTGTTCCTGAATTGTACACGTAGAAACTGCTGTGAAGCAGTATATCTGTTTTTCTGTGTGTATTTTCAACAACAAGAAAATTATTTTTTTTAAAAAAATATGCAATCAAAACTGAACTGAATCTTAAAAGCAAACTTTTTTCTTTTTTTAAATCTTTTTTATTTTGTTTGAAAGCAAAGTCATTTATGCCACATTCAGCAGACACAAATGTCCATCTTCCTTTTATGAAGGAGGCAAATCCAAGAACTGTAACATGATGGTATTACCTTTATTACTCCATACTGAAAGGGCAATTTCAGAATTGTTGCTCAAAGGAAGGCGTCTTCCTTTCCCTACAAGCAGTCTATTTACAAAGGTTCCGTTCCCACTGTGATCCTCTATGTATGCGATGTAAGAGTTTTTAGGACCCATTTCCTAAAATAGAGAGAACATTGCGTTTCAAAGCTTTAACAATTAGAACTGACAATGGAATGAGAACTAGAAGTGATGACTAGATGAACAACGCTGCCTGGCATCTGGGGATGTGTGTCACCTACCCTGAAAATCCGAAAGTGTTTCTTGCTATATGTCCGGTATTTGTCTGTTCTTTTCAGGAGAGGCTCATCAAAGCAATATTCACAGCTTCTGTCTCTCCCAAACCAGTAGTTGTCGTTAATACATTCTGTAACAAAAGAGCACATATTGGATGACAGCTGCTGGATCCAAAACCTTTAAAGGATGTCATAAACTCTACTCATAGAGAAAAAGCCCAAGAAGGCAGTCAATATTATAGGTTTGTCTACCAATATTTTATAATATTCTAATTTAAGGGGAACATTAAAACTCTCAATTATGAGTTTTATATCTAACTATAAAAGAATAAGAAGTACTCCAGTAACTTTAATGAATTCTTAAAATATTTATGATATAATAACTCTCTAAAGGTTTCTCATCATATTTAATATAAAATCTGTACTCCTTATGGCCTGTTAAATGTAGAATTTGGCCCTGTCTCCTTTCCAACTATACATTATATTTACATCTACTTGCTAAGTATATATCGTGAAAACAAAAATCCTCATCACTGAACAACAGTCAACATCATAATGTTGATGGTGGGAGTGGTGTTAAGTACCAACTAGCAGATTACAACTCCTAGAGACCTTGTGAACAACAGATCTGAACCCTGTCCTAACCTGTACCATCCTCATCATCTCTGACACATTTGAGCCCACTGCATAGTCTCTGTGTCAGTCCATCGCATTGAGGATCTTGCTGTTTTGCTGATTCACCATCTCTCCAAGCATGATGTCTCTTTCCAAGGAAGAACCTTTTCTAACAACATGTCCAAAATATATGAGTGTGGTGTTGGCCTACAAGTTGGCTTTTTTCAGCCATTACAGTTAGCCCCCTCTGGTCTCCAGTTACCTTAACTACAGGCATATGGTCTTACAAATAACTAATCACTGTTGGACTAGGATAAAAGAAACAATGTTTCCCACAATGGTTAGCAAAACTTAAATGAGACTGGAGCAAGACCATGGTGAGGGTGAGAACCTGGTGATGGTGGTAGAGAGACTGTGGCACTGCTGTGGAAAAACTGTGGCAAGGTGTGACCTGAGGCTTCTTGCATTTATGCTGACCACAGAGATTTCTGCTGTTCTTGCCAGATGCTTGAAGAAGATGACTTATAATTGCTCTGAGGCAAAACTTGCTGGATGATTTGGATTCAACTGCTGAACTGAAACGAGAGTCTGGATGTTTTGAGGAATTGTGCCTTGAACCTGGACTTATTTTGGATGATATTCTTTGCCTTCACCACTCTCCAGCTTCCTTCCCTAATAAACCCCATTGTTGGTACCACGCATCAGCAATGAATAAACAAACCACCCGCTGCTGCTGTGGTTCTAGAGGCGCCAGGGGACCGAGCTGTGGGTTCTTTATCTGCTTTCTGCTCTGGGGCAATGAGAGGTCAAGCTATTCTCTGGCCCTTTCAGAGAGACATTCAAGCCTTGTGCTTATATGTCCTGTTTTACCCTCTTTAGACAGTGAGACATCATGAGAGGCAGAGAAAACACTGAAGATGTCAATGATTTCATTTCCCTTGGAGTCACAATTAACATCAATGGCAACAGGAGGCAAGAAATCAAAAGACATGTTGCCTTCAACAAATCTGCTCTCAGAGACCTGTGAAATAGGGAAAGTCACTTTAAGAAGGAACATTCACCTGACACAACTCATAGAATTTTTTTCTTTTTCCATTGAATTTGATTTGAATGTTAAGTTTACAAATCATATTGCATTTTCATTCAATCATTTATAGAAATTTTGTTTTATAACATTAATTATAATTGATTGCATCTTCTTGTGTTTCGTTGAGTCAGAACTGACTCGTAGCTGACCCTCCAGTGGGTTTTCAGAGGCAGTTTATCATACAGGAGGAGACTGCACATCCTTCTCCTGCAGAACAACTTGTGGATTTGAATGGTGTGCCTATACAAGACATATTAAAGGGAATTCTTTGGATTGAGAGCCAAAAATATCAATGAGTGGGGTGAAGGATCTTTTGTGAAAATGGGAAAGAACTTTTGTGAAAAGCAATGTATTAAAACTTTGTAAATAAATCAGAATAAAATAAAATAAATAAATTTTTTTAAAAAGACAACAAACAAAAATTAACATATACATCAACTTCATTTAGAAACAAACCCATTCACAGAAATACACAAAGTGTACTAAAAAATAGGGAACCAGGGCTATTAGTTTGTGAGGACAATAATATAAAACGAGAGAATCAAAGTGTTCTTCTAAAAAAAGGAAGTCAAGGAGAGTCCAAGTTCAAATAAAATCACTACCAGGTACATATCCCAATGAAAGAAAAGTAGTCACACAAAATAACATACACACCCCCATGTTAACTGCAGCATTATTTACAAAAGCAAAGAGTTGGAAACACCCCAAATGACCATCAGCAGAAGAACGACTAAAGAAGAAGCTATGGTACATTTCACACAAACGAATTTCACGCATCGCTGAAAAGCAATCAAGATTTTGTGAAATACTTTACAACATGTACAAATCTAGAACAAACTATGCTGTGTGACAGAAGCCAGTCACAAAAGC